CATTTATAGTTTGTATTTATTCAATTTTTTTTTGTTCAAAGGCTAAATCAAGTATATAAGTCTCTATGAAAAACTATGATATTTTTGATCTCATTGTAAGGAATTAAGCTTTATTAAAGTCTTTATGAGATCATATAGTTCTGTAATTGCTTTTATTTGTTTGAAATAAATAAAAAGAATATATTTATTCTTCTTTTGATACAGAATATATTTATTATTCTTATTTATAGCCACTTTCTTAATAAACTACAATCTAAGTCGATCAGCAACCGCGGAAAGCGTGCACTCTAAGCGCCTATTTACCCTCGTAAGTACTAAAGGGATGTTGGCCTCGTTGTTTGCAACAACATGCGTTGTAGATGAAATTAGTCAAATGTTGGAAGACAGCGGTAGCACACAAGCTGCAACAACAACCACTTCAAGCTAAAATGTTTACATATTGCACCATTAATGGGCCATGTCGATACATCAGCAAGGTGGCTGTCAATTAGCTGCAAGGCTATAATTGTGAAATTTCCGCACTTAAAGCCACACACACACACACACACTCACATATACATACGCACACTTTAAAAGGCAATCAGCAATTTGGCAAATGAAAAAGTCAAACAAAATGACCAAGGGAGAGAATAACAACAACAGCAACAAAGAAATTTATAAAACGACAACAAAAATACAAAATTAATTACCAGAATGCAAATTAATTGCTGTCCGTTTTCTTGCTTTCAAGTTGGCAAACGCATAAATCTTGTCTGCAAGCCAACGAGCAACGCTGACGACTGCTGCGGGGCTCACACACACACACACACACACACACACACACACACACACACACGTACACAAAGGGACCCAACAGAGCCAGACGCTAGCTCACACACTCCCCAGTCAAATGCAATGACAAACAAATTGCCGTGCGCCGTTGCCAACAAGAAAAGAAAACAAAACAAAACAAAAACGAACAGAAAAAATGCACCGAGAGGAAACCAAAAATCTAGTTGAGGGTGGCAATAATGCCGGCACGCGCAAATGAATTGCTTGCCGAGCACACACACACACACACACCGACGTGGAGTGGAAGGCAATACAGATGGTTGCGTGACAAATTAAAATTTCGATGTCACGCAAATCACGATTGTTATACATATACATACTTTTATAATTTATTTCAATTAAAATGCTTCAAATTATAAAAATACCTATAAAAGAAAATGCACAATATAAATTCGAATACAAATTCATTATAATGGCGCACTGTTTCGCCTTAAAATGGAACTGAGTTGGATTTGCTAAAGTATTTTTATTTTTTATTATATTTATGCATATGATATGCATAAATTATTACTTGAACGTATCGTGCATTTTCTAATCAGCATTTTAATTTTAAATTTAAGAAATGTTGTAGAGAATTACATCTCCAGGCTAACATTACACTATTTAATTTATTCCGAATCTATTTATTTTACCTTCAAAGATTGTATACCTAAGGCGAAAGCTAGTTTTATAATAATATTAATTTTAATACTTATAAAAAAATTGGCATAGTTGTATTATGTAAGCCGAAACATCGTTTTAGTTGAAAATATATGGCATAGCGTTAAGAAATTAAAAAATTAGAGCGTTAACTAAAGTAACAAATATAAACCTAAATCATTGCCTTAATAAGCAAATAAGCGGAAATAAACATGAACTATGTAAGATTATATATAGTATGTATAATAGTTGTTCATTGTTAACTCCTTTTCAGTTTGGTGATCCCTTCCCCCCTTACACTCACGATGGCTGCACATCTCTAAGGAGTTGACAGCTTCCGACAGTGGGAAAAAGGTGTCAATCTATAGCACGTCATGTCATTCATCTGTACTGAATCATAGTATGGCGAGTTGAAATTATTACACCGATCCAAAAACTGGAGCGTGGAGTCCCATATAAAACGAATATTATTCTTACTACACTGTAAATTAGCTATTGAAATCAAAAATATCAACTATCAACTATCATTTAAAAATCAATTGAACATTTCTTTGTATGTTTGCTTATAACCTTCATAACATGGCGTATACGCAATGCCATATTACGCATACACCACTGAAAATTTCTCAGCTTATGTTTATTACAGCCACATGGCTTATGTCTTTGCTTTAGTTGTTGTTGTTCTTCTTCGCCGTGTATAAAGAAAAAACCTGGAATAAATTTGTAAAAAACAAAAACATAAACCGCTACAAATTTAAATGCATATGTCGCTTACACTGCTACGAGTATAGCCGCAGTTGTTTTTATTGTTCTTGTGAGCTATTTAAATATATACCCATATGTATGTATATGTATGTATGTATGGCTTTTATGCGACAATTGCTGTTGTTGTTATTGCGACCTTTGGTGCTACTGCAACTGCTGAGCGAAAATTGTATTGCGGCCAATATGGTAAATTGCCTTGAATCTACCTTAAAACCATATTTCAACACTAGATTACACAAACAAGCAGTGCCGCGTGGCTGCTGTTACAGCAACTGTTGTTGTTATTGTTGCTACTGCTACTGCTACTGCTGTTGCTACTACACTGCGGTACGCCATTACACCAAAATAATATCATAAAATTTCGCGCAAACAAACATACCTACACATGTATGAACACTAGCCAACATGGTGCATTGGGCCAATACAAAATGTTGATTAAAAGCCCCCTAAAAACTGGAGACAAAACTTAACTTAACCGAACTATCGCTTTTTCAAAATGTCCTGTGATGTGTATTAGTTATTGAGTATGAAAACTACAACCCTTTTAACCAAAATATAGTTTATCAGGCAGAAGGAAGCATCTCCCTTTTATTTATACATGTTTATAATTTAAAAGTTTAGCTTATTCAGTTTAAAAATTTTGTTTCTAAAACTTGTGTTTATAGTCTATTAACTCCTCTGACTACTCTTGGCTATATTCTAGACATAGTTACCCGAGTGGCAAATAAAATACCCCGATCGTGTCGGAGGGAGTCTTACAGCTCTAGTTCATATTATGTTTCCTATGTCCACAGCTTATGTTTGTCTGCATAAAATAAAGTCTTAAAAAATAAAAGAAATACTCTGTAGTTTCATCGAAATTAGTAATGTTTTCTATTTTCATTATTTTAAATATTGTTGTTGGGGTGAAATGTTAAAGTTTTTAGTTACTTTTACAAAATTGAAATCAAATCATTGAGGCATTAACTTTAAGCGATGGTTATTCCTTCAACTCTCTACAGAATGTAAACAATAAAATGTAAATGTATTGAGGGCATTAGTAATTAATTGACTCAAGAAGAATTATAAAGTCATCTTCTTTCCCTTTTTTTTTTTTTGAAACCCCGTCTTATGAATAGTTTTGATAAAGTCATGTGGATACAAATATTGGTACTTCTCTGAAAAGGATAATAACAAACTAATAAACAAACTACGAATATGTTCTGTTTAAGTCCAAGATTTTGTCGTTTAGTGTTCAAAAATACAACGTACACAGAACATGTATATGTGTATGTGCATATATGCCTTTCCTGGTATTTTAACCATCGTTTTAGCGCCAGCGGCATAGCTTGGGGCGACCATCACGAAAAATGGCGCACACACACACACGTGTACACACACAGCCAAGGGCTGGCCAGTGTCAGTACATAAAATGCAGGCAAATACATTCTCGAGAATAAAGCCACATACCCATATGTACAATGTAGCATGTACATATGTACATACATATCTATATATGTATGTATGTATGTAAAGACTCGCACAAAACTACAAACAGGCATGCGAGCAAGCCAGCCAGCAGCTGACAATGATTACATAGCTACATACATACTATAGATGTATGTACATAGCGTGTAAGTTCGGTTATTTGCCATTTTGTGTTGCGGTTCTTGCTGAAATGTGTCATTAAAGTTCGTGAAAAGAATAATGAAGCTAAAGCTTAGATTTCTACACGAAATCGCGAGTACACCCACCCAGCAAAAAGGCTTCATAAATCAAGCGAAACCTGTCAGAGTTCAGCGTTGACGGAGCTACCTGTGTGCAAGTCATATACGAAATGTCCTTTAAACAAGGCCAACAAAGAAATGCAACAATGCAGAAAATGTGCTGCATAACAAATGCCTCATTAGCCTGCTGCAAGACGTACAAACACACACACACACACATATATATATATATATATATACGGACACACAGGTACATCATGCTCTACGAAATTACAAAGCAGTGCCGCTTGTATTTTTTTTTTTTTTTGTCCTGTAATCGTTTACCTTTTTTCCATCGTACTACATTTTTGCATAGAAAATTCAACTTTTGCCAAACTAACGATGAACTACAATATGCAAATTCATTTAACATGCTGGCACATGCACAAACACATACAATCAAATGCCATATACTTGAACAAGACTGCACACTAAATCATAACAATGTTCACATAAATGGTGACAATTCCAAGTTTACTGGTAAGAGTAAAAAGCAACCAGAAATTAACCCAATTAATTTTATTTTTATAACGTTTTTAATTATTTGAATTAACAAATTACAAATTAGGAATAAAAAAAAAAATAACAGAACTCCAATTCATATTTAATTAATTAATTTGGTCAATTTTAGTTCTGCTCTGCTGAAAAGCTATCATAAGATAGTGCTACTTTGAATACGAAAAAATATATATCCAGGTAATATCATGGGTACAGCCAAGGGACCAAGTAAATGGCATGGAAATTAATTGTACTTTATAGATGGGGAAATTAATGAAAATACATTAATGTACTTTATTCTCAAAGACAACTAAAGCCCCGACCAGACATGCACACCAATGCATATCTATTATTTTACAAGTTGACTTTAAAAAGTAAACGCCTAAAACGTTCGTTTAACGTTAAACTATATTTTAGTATAACATTAATATTAGTTAAATCTAAATTTACATATTATGTGATGAAATTATCTGCCTGTCTGAGGAAAGCTTAAGAGTATATTAGAATAACTTAGATGCTTACGTTTGTAATGGAGAAATAAAGCTTAAGCCGGTCCATTTAAAGAGATTTTAGCCTGGTGGTTAAACAAAATGATGCAAATCCAATCGAGAAATAATTCAAAAAGGAACACTTACTTTTTAATCGGGAATTTCTTCCTTACTCTAGTCAAATTCAACTAAAGAACATACATTTTTAAAACTCTCTGATTTTTATTGACGTAGGAAAAGGTAATGAGATTACTGAATTGTTTTTTCTTTACATTTCTTTTACATTTAAGAATATGCCAACCATTGAGATAATGCTTGTGCAAATTAGAGTTAAAAAATAATTTGTAAATACAATTTTCTTCTAGCTTCTACAATCACATTACCTGTGTCATTTAATTCGAACTGAAGCCAGTTCAGTTCAGTTTCTAAATATATAACTATCCAGCAATATGTGTGACAAATCGAACTTATCTGCGCTGGATCTATCCTTTATAAATAATGAGCAATTTGTGAGTATCCTGTGCAATTGCCAATTCAGTTGTTAAACTAACCATATTTTCGCAGAGGAGTTGCTTCAATGTTATGAAGATACCCTTTGAGTATCGCTGTGAATATGTCATGCGTACACCCCACTGTGAGAACTTTAAGTACATTATCGACTATGTTAGCTTCATTGAGTGTGGTCTGAAGGCACAATCGCATATGACGGAGGTTTTTGCTGTCTTTGGCTTCTTAATTCTGGGCTTGTATTTACTTCTATGCATTGCTGTCATTGCTAATAGCTAGTGAGTAGAATGGTGGCATTATCTTCTGATAAGCATAGGTTTATTAACGCCAATGCCATTGAGCACAGTTTTGGTCCCGCATTGAAGTCTATAGCGAAGAAGATGCGAATGAACGAGCACTTGGCTGGTGTCACGCTGCTGGCCTTTGGCAATAGTGCCGCCGATTTTTCCGCACAACTTACCAATACTAACATACATCATTTGTTCATGGATACCGTATCTTCGGCGATTTTTGCAACATTAATTTCCGGTGGCCTCATTTGCATTTTTTATCCTTTTCAAATGGAACGATACGACATGGTGATTGATATACTTTTCTTTATAATTGGCGTAATGTATTTGGAATATATTCTGGCATCAGACTCAACGTTAACATTAAGCTGGTGTGTGGGTGCGTAATTATTCAATTTTATCCCATATATTATGTTACTCATCGAATGCTGTTTGTTTTACAGGCCCTATTATAATCTATATAATTTATTTAGCTATCAACATTACCGATACATTCTTGGAAAAAAAATACGGCAATGCTCCCCCTAGTATTCTGATACTAGCAACTAAATCTCGAGCAAGCTTCGGTCGCTCGGGTCGCCCATCAAATGCACCACGTGTTCAATCCCTAAGGAGTTCTAGAATTAGCGGATCGCAACGCTCTGCTCGACAAACTACGTATTTTGCTGAAAGGCGTGAAACCGTCGATGAGGCAATGACTCGCGTATTGAGGCACCGTAAACAAAATCCAAAAAATTTGAATCTCTTAAATGAGTTTATCTCCGCCATAGTGCCAATCCAAGCTACCGATTGGGAAAGGTCGGGCAAATTTATCCGCACTTTTCTAATAATACGTGCTCCACTCGTCTTCCTTTGTCAGCTTTTCATTCCCGTTGTGAATGTGGAGCATGAAAAGCACGGCTGGTCAAAGTTACTAAATTGCTTGCACATCGTAGTTACTCCTTTGCTGCCCGCTTTAATTTTAAGTATGTTTCCATTTGCAATCAATCTTTCTCTAATTCGCACCCCCCACCAGGTGTCTATGGAGCCGATATATCATTTACTGTACTGCTAGTAACAATACCGGTGGCCATCGCCGTTTTCTTACACTCTCGCACGGATATACCCCCTCCATATCACTTTGTAAGTGTATCGCACAAAACTGATTACCACTTTAAAAATGTATTATTATTTTTGAAAAATTTGCCCTGGAAGTTGGGTAAATAATTCTTACAATTTTCAAAGTGAAAACGTGTTTAGTTAGTCCTTAATACTATAAAACATTCGATCAATTGTCCTCCTAATTTAAGCCAAAAATCTAGATATGAGCACGTTATTAAATATTTTAGAATTAAATAATAACATAAAATTGTTTTAGAGGCGCTTTCAGTAAACATTCAATCGGCGCAATAATATTTTCTATTTGAAGGTATTTACTCTAGTTTGTGGAGTTACTTCGATGCTGTTGATATTTGTTTGTGCCAGAGAGATTTCGGAAATTGTTGTCGTTATCGGCATGGTAGTCGGACTATCAGAGAGCTTCATTACCATTACAGTTAATAGCTGGGGCAGTTCGGTGGGCATGCTGGTTACCAATATGACGCTCGCCCACCATGGATACGAACGCATGGCCTTTGCCTCTTGCTATGGCGGACCTTTTTTCAGTGAGTAAATGAAAGTGATTTAATTATAACTTAAGAGTTATTCCTTTCCCAACAATACAGTGCTTATTATGTCGAATGGAATAATTATGACATCGCAACATCTTCTGGGGCATGAGTTTTCGGTATCCAACGGCCTATTTTATGAAAATAGTTACATATTTTTCATGTTGTCTCTTGTTTCCACGCTGATCTGGGCATTTTCGTTCGATTTCGTTACACGACCTTCCGTCGGAGTTTTCAATTTTATGCTCTACTTACTGTTTATTATCTATGCCGTACTCGCCGAAAAGGAGGTTATACACTCCTTCACAAGAGATGAACACATTGACGTTGTTTAATTTGAAAAAATATTATAAATAAGTTGGAAAAATTATAAAATATACAATGATAATCGTTTATTTGATTGAAAAAGTAAAATTTGTTGTAATTTTTTTTATTATATTCAAATAATCAAATCATATTTGTAAAAGCGAATCACACAAGATCTGTGTGGACTGGAAAGAACATTAACATATCTTTAATTATTTTTAAATACAAATTAATTTATAAGAAATCTTCTTGTCGTACTAGGAATTAATAAACAAATAAATAAATAGGTAAAAAAATAAAATAAATTAAACCACTAGGAATATTGCCCATTTAAGCAACAATAAAAACAATTATTTTAGCAAATGGTGTACCAATTTGAAGCAAACGGTTGGAGCTACTTTCAAAGACATAAGCGAGTTATTTGTAAATGGAAGAGATCGATTTTACTAAACACATAAATTATGGTCTATATAGTTTAATTGCTAGCTACAAGCAGCTTAATACTGTGCTACTTCCTCATTAACACCATACATTGTTGATAATGGCTTTAAAGGATAGCTAATACATTGTTTACAAAATATCTTTTAATAATTAGTTAGCTATTATTGACAGCTCAAGAGTGGCGGAAAAAATTTAAAATGAAATTGAATTTTTTGCCCGGTCTTTCCCCATTTGCGGGTTAAATTGTGTGCAAATTTCAAATCATTACTTATCACATTTCTATTGCAACTTTCTCTGAGCGCATGAGCCGCGGTGTGCTCACAAACATACACTCAACGAATAAGCGTTAGCAGCCAGCAGGAAATCTGCAGAAGTCGCAGCAACATTTCATATTGTCGGCACCTAAAAAGTGTACTCACATACACACACACACACACTCACACACACACAGACGCACACTCACGCCTTCAGTGAGACGCTTAACGACACGCCACACAAGCAAAACTATGCATATGCATTTGCCATGTTTGTTTATATGAACTTGTGTGAGTAGGTGTATGTGTGTGTGTGTGTGGGTGTGTCTGTGTTGCCGTCTCTGTGCACACATGCATATAAAAACCGCTTTCAAGAAACAACTTGAAAATGGCGCACGACATGGCGTCTCTGCTTGGCTGGCATCGATGCTGCTGCTGGTTGTTGCTGTTGCTGTTGTTGTTGTTTTTGTCGCTTTTTGTTGTTGTTTTTGTTTTTGCATTGCACCAGCCATCAGATAGAGAGGTGCAAAAAAGGTAGCAACACTGCACAACAAGGCAAAAGATGACAATCAGGCAGACAGCAACAAGCAAGGAACCAACGCGAAGTAAACAGTACATAGCGCCCAGTAGAGTTCTCAAATCCTGTTTTTGTGTACCCTGCATCCGAGTGTTAATATTGAGCTCCGACGCAACTCTGATCGCACTTGTCTGTGATTCCGGTCAGGGAATTCTTCGGTCTTCAGGTTTGCCCCAGCGTGTCAAGAAGCTCACAAATTATTTTTTCTTTTTAATAAACTAAGTACAAATATTTAATTTGGGTCTAGCTATTATTAAAAGATAAGTTTTGGGCAAGTTATTTTTTAAAAGTTCAACAAGTTCAAGGCCTGGTATTGATGTAAGCACCTATATCCATAACTTTGCCGACCACAACAATAAGTTTAAGAGACATGATAATAAATCAGACCATAACTCAACATTATTTTGGACAAGGGCTTAACACTTTAACACTTTATGTACATATGTCTGCTGATATGTATGTGTTATGGTGTAATGAGCTGAATCTTTTAACCAATCTGGCCTTGAAGCAATTAGAGGAGGCAAAATTCTCTTCCGGCGGATTATTAAAGCACTCTTCAAGCTGATCTCCAATACCCGGCGACACTAAGAACCAAATTGTGTTTATGTGGAGCTACCCATTAGCTGTCCACAAGATTAGCATAATCTTACCTTAATGTTGTTGCCAAAATGTTTGGATGAAACCTTTGCTAATACATATATAATGTGATTACAATTATTAAGATAATTTCTGTTTTAATTACTCTTAATAAGGATCAGTTCTATTAACTTTATTAGTTTATTTATACTCGCATATGAAAGTCCACAACCCGGCAATGAAGGAATTGCAGTTCACACCTATCACTTGAATCGTTATACAAAACATATTAATATCAATAAAAATATCAGGTCTTTAAATATATACATATGTACATATGTATGTAAGTATTTATTTACACAAAGCACTTCACACAACTGTCTTGCACAAAGAACGATCAAAAAGTGATGTTCTCTTTATTAATTATGTCTTGTGTACCTTTGAGAGCGTGAATGCTCTCAGTGTGTACACTAATGCTTATTAAATTAAGTACAAAAGTGTATACACCCTTACTTTCTACGGTGATAAGAGTAACGGCCTGCTACAAATATATAGCACCTTTCTAGTAACACCCATTTATGTACAATCCAAAAATTTAACTAATTAATGACATTGTCAGTGTTAGTTCACACAGGGTATTTAAGAGTCGCCTGAGTTGGATTTTTTTAAAACTCAAATGCAGGATTCTACGTTCGTGGCCATTGCTGTTGTTGTTATTGCTATTGCCTTTTTTTACACTCCTTCCGTTCGTCGCCGTCATGCAGGCAAAGTAAATTATGCGACGTGCAAAATCAATAAATCAACACGTTTATTGCTGTGAACGTATTTTGGTTTGATGTCCTGGCGCGCCGTTGGGGGCGGTGTTGCCGCTAAATGAAATGCAGCTGTTATGTTGCTGTTATTGTTGTTGTTCTTGTCGCTGTCATTGCTGCTGTAGGTTTGAAAAATGCCAGTTAACTGTAATACATTTAGTAAAAGTTTTTGCAGCATGTGTGTGCTGTGTGTGTGTGTGCGTGTGGTTCAAATTAAATTTATATAAAATGCAATGTTATTCATTTAGTTTATATTGCATGCTTCTGCTGCTGCTCTGCTGCTTGGCGTGAAAATTTGTAACACAAAATGCTGCACAGCTTGACAAGCTTTGAACACACAAGTAAACGGTTGGCATATGCCAATGAATTGCAAATCTGTGGTGGCAAACGTTTATTTTCGCGCAACAATTTTGAGGATGGTTGCCATTGGTGCTGTTGTTGTTGCTGCTGTTGTTGTTGTTATATTGCAGATGCTGTTGCAAGTAGGAATGAAATGCATGAGGCAAAGTCTATTCAACAGCTGCAATTCATTACAAATGTGATTTTCCTTTTAGCGAAAAAGCGAGCGCTGAAGACTTGCACAAATTTCATGCTTGCTTGCATGAAAGCACACACACACACACGCACACACAATCAACAGGGACCAGCAAGAACACACCCATACAATAAGCACAAACTGATTCACATACATGTACTATATACCACATACTCGTACATACATGTATACTTATCTACATTCGTATGGCTACGTTTGGCTTACATTTGTCTGCACGGCAGGCGTAGCAGGCAGCACATGGCAAAATCTTGAGTGCTTTATTGTTATGTATGTTTTAAAATTCAATGAATTCTAAAAATGTTCCCAACACAACCGCCAGCACTGCATTTGTTGGCCTGCCGAAGCACTTTGCACCTTCGCTTGTTTTAGGGAAAGTCTGCCAAGTTGACAATTCAACAAAAAGATTCGCTTTCTCGCTCAATTCTCTCTTTCCGCCCGTCCTGAGCTCCACTCATTCATTTAAAGCTTATACTATATAGTAGTTAGTGTACGAATGCGAATTCTAAAACTAGGTCAGTTGTCGAGAGCGACAGCATTGATTATTGTAATGCAAGTGCATATGAAAAATTTAATACAACGAATTGCATTTCAAAACATTTAAGAATGGCATATTAACTTTCCGTCTCAAGGTTTTTAGATGCTTAGAAATTCAAGTGGAGGAACAAAAAATTATTCAAAAATTACTTGCAGTTTTAAAAATTCTCCAAGAATGGTCTCACATCTAATAAAAAATTAATAAAAATAAACAGAAGATTTTTTAATGTTAAGAGCTCGAAAATATCTTGAGAAAAAATATCAACAATAGTTAATGGGTGTGGCTGTAATAACTGACAAAGGTATATTGTGGGAGAAGTTGAAATAATGACATATTGATGGAATTTAGAGTGCATTTTATTTGTCCCCCTGTACCAGAACTTCCGTGCAGATATCTACGCGCATATCAAGGGCTGTGTAGATCTTAAAAATGTCCTTTACATATGAAAATACATACATTAATCCATCAAACCATTTATCCATTCAAGCCGATTCAAATTTTTTGTAAATCACATACATTTTCAATTGCTAATCAACTTTTTATTTTATTGGGCATTAAAGACAGGTGTAACACAATGAGAGCTATGACAAAATGAAAGCTGCATACAAATTTTGATGGGAGTTCCAACTCGTCCAATTCTTTCTTTCTTTTGTTTTCGTAATGAAAATTATAGTATTAATATCAATGCCTCGTACCCTTCTATTCCCACAAAGTATATGTACATATGTATATTCTTAATACACACGAAAATGTGCGCCCGTCTCTCTGTCTATATGAACACAAAGGCTATAAAAAGTACAATAGTCACCAAAAATGTAATAGCATCGTTAATAATTTTTAAACGGGTCACGAGGCGCTTCTGAAAATCGATTTCATTTATTCTTTTAAATGTATTTCATCAACACGAATTCGGGTTAAAAACTGAAGCTACGCACTCAATATACTGGCATATTCGCACTTGATCTGACAATTGACCACCAACGCTCGTAAGCAGTGCATGGAAGCGGGCGTACGGAAGACACATATTTAATCTTTACACACGTGTTCCTGGCTATACAAGTATAGTATGTATGTGCGCTTTCACACAAGACTCATTATGCGCGATAAAAATTGCATTATCACGAAAAGAAATGCCGCCATGAATAACGCTCGCATGCAGCAGGCAGACAGACAGACAATGGGGGACAGAAGATGAAGTCAAAGGCCCCAGCGCTTGCATTTATGCAATATTAATTAAGCGAGAGCAACTCAGAACTGGCCCAAAGATGAGGACGCTGCGATCGTATGCAGAAGGCAGCCGAAATTGCTGTCACATGACATTGAGTTATTGTGCATGACGAGAATAGCGGGGAAGCATAGCATGTGGCATGCCTCTCTTTTGTGCCTGTTAATGTCCAACTATTGTCTCACGCGGTGGTTGGTTAAGGGCTTCTCGATTGGAAATGCGGCACAATGTTCGCAGCAGCTGTGGCATAAATTTAATTTAAAGCAACACTGCCGCACTGCCTGTTCCTGACTTCACTTGCAGCGGTTGAAAGCCCACACATTGAAGCAACCAAGGCTGCTTCAGGCCGTGCTGTGGTCCTTTACAATGAAGTTTCCATGTGAACGACTGACTGACAGACTGACTGACTGACTGACTGACTGACTGGCAGACGGTGTCTCTCCTCCTACCTTGCTGTTCGCTGCAAATTCTAGCTCTGGCCGTATTTCATCCTATTGTTACCTCATAACAATAAACTGAAATTCAAATATCAAAGTGCACACAAATAATAATTATATATAAGCTCGATCGATAGAAACTAAAACCACCAATTTGCAATTGCTCCCATGTTATAATTGATGCAATGTTTGGCTATTTTAAGCACACATAACCATTGAGTAAAAGCATCATTAAACTTGCATTACACAAGTACATGCTTGTATATTTTAGTGAGGCCATACGTCATGTAGTAAGGCTATAAAACACTCCCAAATAAATATCATAAATGCAAATTGGTGCGATTATTACTGCATTTGGGCAATAACAACCATCTTATATGTACTATATTTATTCATACAAATATTCAAATATTCTTAGTTATGAGGGTATTCCATTAATTTGTACTTAGAAATACTTAACACAGCTCATTGAATTTTTATTCTGGCTTCTCGCTCAATGCCAATGCATCGCCATTATGCACGATATTGGCCTTAGTTTGCTCTTTTTCGATGCACTCTGCATCACTTGGCTGCAGAAAGTCGGCAGCATTCCAAGGCTGCTGGTCAGTGGTGCCCCAAATGAGGTACACCAAGTTTCCAAAAAAGAAAATAATGGCTGTTAAACCAAACACGATTTGCCATTGACTACGGTCGCTCTGAAAAATATGACAGAGATTATAAAATTAATGTACATATATACAAATTATGATAAAATAGGTTTAAATTGCAAGATAGATTTACAAGCACAATCCCGTTCTAATTCACTAAAAAGACCGCCAACATTCGTGTTTCAAACTTAATATAAGAGCTCAATTATCCCCCTTATCCGCAGTTTAAAGCAACTAATTCCAACTAATTCCCTTTTTCGCGGCATCATCTTACATACCTCTATGTTTCACTCCCTTAATTCCGCTCTTATCTTATCCCAAATACTTATCAGATTGACTTAAAATATTGTAGGACAGCAGTAAAAACCTTACCGTATCAGTCACAATCACGCCTACGAGCAGCGGCGCCACCAGTGGAAAAATGTTGGCTAAGCCATTGATAATAGCCATTAGCATTCCAGAATGGTTGGGCGACATATCAATTATGGTGAGTATGCTTCCAATGCCCGAACCCGCATTGAGACCTGCATTGATTGTCATCAAAGCGATGGCCAGACTCGTCTGACTTTTGTCGAGAAAACCGATGCCAATGAGGGCAGCTGCAGGTCCCCAAAAGGCAACCGTATTGATGGACTTGCGCAACGTAGTTAGTGGCATCCAATGGCGAGCCATGGCGATATCGGCAAATGCCAAATACACATACGACATGCACCACATGGCCACGAACGGGAGAGCGGAGTAGAGCGCATTACTCTTAATGTCCATCTCGAGAACTCCGTGCATATAGGAAGGCGTCTGCAGCTGCATTGTTGAATTAGCCCAGCCCTGGGCACATCGTACCACCAAAAGCGCATAGAATGGAGCGGATGTCCAAATGGCACGCCAAGGTATTGGAATTTTATGTTCGTGGAAGCCCTCATTCCTTTGCAATGACAGCTCGATGTATTCCCGCTCTTTGTCACCAATCAATCGAGAAACAGGCGCACTGTTGGACCCAAGCAGCACCCACAGCAAACACCAAACGCCACACATTCCCGCCGACACATAAGAGATGCCTGGCCAGCCCATAGAGCCATTGGCAATGATTCCCGTAACTCCCATAGCCATAACAGTGCCACAGTCGGAGCCCGAATAGGCGAATATGCCAAGACGATTGCGTTCCGCCGGTGGTGACCATTTCGCCAGATGCTCGTGGATGCAGGGAAATATGAGCCCCTGGAAAACACCCTGCAGTACGCGAATAGCACAGTAGGCCTGCCAACCTCCACCAGATGTAATACAGATGGGTGTGATTGCACTGAGCACAGCCGTGCCAAGTGTGGGTATTAGAAGTATGATTTTGGCACCGTAGCGTCTGCATAGAAATCCAGAGGGAAACTGCAAGACCAGATAGCCCCAATAGAAGCTAGACAGGATATACGACTTCTGCGCCTCCGTCCAGTCATATTCCTGTAAAAGTTATACTATTAAACCATATACTTGTAGTTACGTTCAGCTTATCAGAAACTTACCGGAAAATCTGGGTTAGTGGTATCGGCATTGGTCATAGCCACAACCGAAACGCTGGCATTCAATCGGGCCACATAATTAACATTTATGCAAATGAAAAGAAGCAGTGCCTGTAAGTGACGGATGCCAATGATGGGCCCTAGAAGATTTCGTAAAAATAGATAGGTACGTATTACATATAAATATATATATCTCGGCACAAAACCAAATCTGGATTTTTGAAACCATTTGCATGCATTTTTTATGTATATATCTACTCGCTCTCTACCATCGATCGAAGAAAGCTTACCCGAGCTACGCATTGGAATGTTTAACAAACAATACTCTTCGAAATTTGCATGATATTACAAAAGTGAAAACAGAAGCTTGCAAATTTAAATTCGACAAAAACCTGTTTAACTTAGAGCATTTAATTATTTACGCCTGCTATTTGCTATTTTTAACCAAACTTTTCATTAAAATCTCTGTTCAAAACCAATTGCATATCTATATCTGATTCAGAGTTCGTAATGGCGAATGCAATAAAAGTATACAACAATGAATAAACATGTTTCGAAATGTTAAAAGAATAAATTATATTTTATGTTTATTACTCGACCAGTTCAATAATCTTGACGCAAAGGCCGAGCAATTTGTTGCACCCACTCCAAATCTTCGGCGATAAAAATAATTGATTGAGTGGAATGATTAGAGATTTTGACATTTGCGATGCAATCAAACTGCTCCCGACTTAAGACCAGCAATCATTCCGGTTAGGTAACACATTTGTATTTTATCTAATCGGAAAAGTGATTTTAATATTGGCTTTAAATATTTGGCACACTATCAACTTCCTGTGAATATATTTGAGCATATATGACCCAAAATTCCCATATTCATAGCATACTTAAATAAGACTCGAATAATCGGGCTTATATATCGCTTTTTATCAATGAAATATTCACCTTTCTGTTCTGTTTTAACCGTCATTCTAATCACACACAAATTATCTCATAGAAAGGTACATATATAACTTTTTTGTCGCTTTATAAAATATGTACGAGTATATTTTGAAGCACACAACACCGGATTTTAGTCTCATCAGTAGCCGCGCACACATCCACGCGTGTCAATTTCTAAAATACGTCTGAGCGTCTGGCTGAAGCAAAGCCGATCATAAACGTATGTATAGTATGTAGATATTGCGATTATGGCCACAATTAGTCGCTCATTTATTTCCATTTGTTGGCTCGGCGCACGATAACCAATGCTACTTCGCACATATCAAATCTGATAAGGTTTTTCTCTAGCCGGGAAGCTATAGCCCTATAAAAACTATGATACTGACTTCAATTATTGCACTTGCAATGCAAATAAACAAACAATATAAAACAGGTATCATTTTTTTGTAATTCTCTCTGTCAGTATACAATAAATATTTCAATGTGCAAAAAATGATTGCATCTCTGTTACGAGAACGCTAATTTAGCAGTGGCGTGTAATTATACTTTAAGCTCAAAACCAAACCCATAACGTTCAAATTGAATAGCGACATATGCAGCATCAATATATTCATATATATATTTAATTATTTTGAAACGTTTCACTTTTTTGAAAGACTAGTAAATAAATGCATTGGACCTATTGTGAACAATGAAGAATTGTTTGTGGCATACAGCTTATATAAGGCACTTAGCTAGCACGACAGCCTTACTTTGGTCGTATTTTTCCAAGAGAACGGAGAATAATCCGGATTAGTGCCTTCAGCTTACCACAATGGAAACGCTAATAATCGAACAAGCTACCTCTTTAATAATAATGCGAGTGAGCAAAAACAATGCCTGCAAGATTTCGTAAAAACATTCCGTATAAAATACATATATCTTAAGCCGTTGCACTACGAAAACGAGCATTTTATTATTATATATTGTGACTGAAAAAACTCAAATGATCTTTCCGTTTGGAAATGGAACTTTAAAATAAAGTGCAGCATACTTTTGGGGATTTTTTTTTATTTTGGTGCATGTGTGTGATTAAGAAATACCTTTCGCAAGAACACAAATTTATTTTCCCCTTTAATTCAAAACTGAAACCAGCTCGACAAAGTAAGTTTTTGTAAAATACAGTAAGGGCAGATAAAACTAGTAGCTTAAAATGATTTCTTATTAATAGAAAATAAATTTCTTTGTCTGTGCACTATCGATTTGGTGGTTGTACAATTTTAACTCATGGGCGATAAAAAATTAAGCGCGTTATTAAAATTCAAAATGTTTACAATGCGAAAATGATTCCCTCACATTTTTTTAATCTAATCTAACTAATAATATTTGCAAATCATTTTGCCCTGTGATATCAGTTTATAGAAAATTTTACAAAATTTGCACGTAGTCGAACTTGCTTACGCTATAAAGCATTATACCTCTTATTCACCATTCAAAATAAACACAAAGACGACCCGCTTATATATTTTTGTCCGATTTGTTAATATTTCTTAGCTTATAGTGCCAGGTCACAATATCACTTCATCAGCATTAGTAACTCTAACATACACGCGCCTCAATTTCTGAAACACGTCTGAATGTCTGGTCAAACAAAGCCGTTCATAAACTATATATCTTTATGCAGCAGTTATGACCACAATTATACGCGCTATTATTTAGAAGCAATAAACCATACGGTTTTGGCAGTGAAAAAACTTTGCATCATACAATGTTTTCAGTCAACTATACAAAAAGGTGCTCTATAAAAAAAAAAGAATATATTCAAATTCGATCGGACGAAATGAATTATGCACAGAATACACCGCACTTTTCCAGTATTCAGCAGTATAAAGCAATCTTACATATACTTGTAGTAGTGTAAAAATCTAGCCGAAATAAAACGTCATAATCAACAAATATTATATTTTCCAAAATATCAAAGTGACTGAAGAATGTTAGTTATTGGTTAGTTATTATTTTTTTCTTTTTACACTTCAGATTACAATTTGCGCTCTTTTGGGCTGATGTCACTACTCTATATATTTCTTAAAATAAACCGACTACTATATAATACGTAATAAATTTGTATGTAATATCGAAGTACTCTAGCGTATACTTAAGTATTACAATTTATACGTTGAAACACCCATTTTTTAGCACCCATTTAAAGAGGCGTACATTTTAAAGAAATGTGAAAAGTTACCTGTACATGGTAATCATTTACGTAAGTCATCAAATAAAAAATAATAATAATAAAAACAAAATTTATAAATCTCTTAATATTGACATTATTTAAACTAATCAACGAGGCAATGTAATAAATATTACTTCTACTTTGGACCTCAACCATATTAGTATTCGAACGAAAATTCTCCCGATGGAATTAATGGAAACATATCTTAACTGCCCTTCGTACTAAGCTAGCAAGAATTCTGATAGTAAATGAACCTATTATTACTGGATCGTCGTGGAAGTTAGAGCCACGATAGAAGCCTTTTTTTGTGGTAACGACTGATGACCACTTTCGAAAGCATTGCTATGTTATTGCAAGTCCGCTGAATTCAACAAATCAGTATTTGCATCGGACAAGTTGAAGTCTTGTTGCCCGATACGCTTAGATGGCCGCGATGACGATTCATCATGCGCCAGACGGACAGATATACTATATATATACAATATAATATATTTATTATTTTTATTTCTTTCCTTCGCCCTAAATTGATGAATAAAGAAATGAAGATAGACCCTCCGTTAAAGAGGATGCCCTATATAGCAAAATTATTTCCAATGAAAAGAAAATTGTTGTTTTGAAAAAGAAAAAAGAAAAAAGAAAACTCTAGCCTAAATTAATTCCTTATTATCAAGACTTTTGCTGCTGTGGCGTACCCTTAGGTACTTCACAAACGTATATTTAAAAATGTATCTTTGTTAGGTATTCCAACAATTATTATGAAATATCTATTTCTATTTGCTTGCTACTCCTCAAAGATGAAAGGCAATAGAAATAATTACAATTTCTGGAACACATGCCAGAACAATGTTAGCCGCTATAACATATGATTGCATTTTTGACATCGGTGACTTATTGGACTTGTGGCTAAGGGCATCTCTCGCATCATGGACTGTACGTACCGCAGCGTACGACATCCATAAGTGGTCACGAGTCGCGACAGCCAATCCAAATGAATTTGTGCGCGCCGCAGCTCTTTTAATTGAAAAACATTTTCTTTTTGCTGTGTCTGCGTCCAAATTCAAACGCAGCAGCATGCCACTTGTTCTGTAACCGCCAAGCTGCTTCTCATTTCCAGCCCGCCCCCACCTCTCCGTGACCAAGCCTGGGCCCACAGCGCAAACAATTCAACAGCCTCGGCCTGGTGAATGGCAATGCGACGTACTGTGCGCACGCGTTCGTGCATAAATTCCGCCAAGTGTCCATTTTTCTGATTTGTGTGGAAACTTTCTGTATTTTTTTTCCTTTTTTTCAGTTGTCCGTTGCTTTTTGTTGACCGACTAACGTTGCCGGCCGTATGGCTTGTTGCCTTGTCTGCCGTCGAACTGTGGGCAAAACTAGTTTGAACAAACCAAAATTTGATCACAGCACCTGCAAATCTCTGTCTTCTTCTATTTGATTATTTAATTTGAATCTAAAAATATAAATTTTGATTTCTAAGTGAGCATTTGGACTTATCAATTACTTTATTTTTAAAAGTACATAATAAAAATATGGAAATCGTGAATATTAAAAGGGTATTACAATTTCTTTACTTTTCATTTAAAAAGACTTATTAGCATATTTTTATAAAAATCATAGTTTTATTATATCAGTTGCTTATAATATACATTTTTTACTTAAGTATGTACTACTTTACATAAATTAGTCATCTCATTAATCATCTCAAAAATTTAATTTTATAAACACATGATTTGTTGTTTATTTCTAAACACTTCTTCTTAATTGTAGATAAGTTCCAACTCGGACTTTATTCGTTGTACCAACAAACTTTCCAATTTCCAATGCGGTTCCAAATCTTCACAACATCGAGTCCATTTTCGCATCGTAAATAATTCAGATAGGGCCACTGTGTCCCGTTACTGTTCCTGTGCATGGAAATTTAGGCGAGATAGAAAATGAATTCATTCAAAGAAATAGTAAGAATTTTCGATTAAATTGCGTTGCGAAGAGAAGGCGCGCAAACAAGAAATTAAAATACACGCGCAGAAACGTTTCAAGAATTTTTAATTAAAATAGACCACAAAAAAATGTTGGAAATTCATTTAATAAACGCGTAACCGAATTTTGGGCATCACATTGCGTATACGCCGCATTGCATATTTAAGCAGTTCGCTCCTGCCATTTGCTCGAGTGACTCTTAATTGTTAACTCTAGTGGTAGCTAATCACGTCGTCATTGTTGCTGCTGCTCTTCTTCCCCTTTTTCTCATTTTTTAAGCATTCGTCATGAGGGAACTGAAGAAAGTCCGCTGCATCCCAGTCTTGTTTATCCGTGGAGCCCCAAATTATATAGACCAAGTTGCCCAAAAAGAAGATAATGGCTGCTGTTGTAAATACAATTTGCCACAGGCTTCGGTCGCTCTGCAACAACAATAAATTCGTTATTACAAGCAATTTAGATACTATTGTTAAAGCGTTTTATGTTTTCATCACTGAATTAATCCAACTTGCATAGGCAATTGCATATTCTATTTGAGAATTTTGGGGTATTAGAACTAGAACTGAATTTTTAACTCGTTCTGTATGTCATTTCGGACACACTATGGATAATCGTGAGAGTTTGCTTAACTGCGTAAATAGCATAATATTAAATAAAAAGTGTAACTTGAGACTTTTTAAACTCTTTTTTTCTTGGAAATTATAAATATTTTCTTATTTAAGCAGTTAGGTAGCCTATCAACTTTATTTTTAAAGAGCCTATAAATATTTGGGGTATTATAATTAATAATTAAACTGGTTAGCAGGGCGACAGCTAAATTTAATATTTTTTGTTAGGAACACACTTTTGAATTGTTAATTCGGCTTGTCAAATTGACAGAAATGTTGTTGCCCTTGCAATAACAAGATAACAAGAGAGAATCGGCATACCTTGCCACATTATTTCAGCTAAAAAATAATAATAATAATTCAAACCTGGCACAAAAATTGTCGTAGAACTTCGCCAACATTTGCACATATTTGTTGGTGGTGATGAAAATTGTATTTAATAGCGTGAAGTTAATCAATTCAATACAAATTACTAAATAAAAGTTTTAAATTGCTAATGAGCATTATTTTTAAGAATTCCTTTCTTTCTTTTAAACACTCGTAATAATTGAACTTCCTTACCGTATCGGTCACGATTAGTCCCACCACAAGGGGCGTGATTAGCGGAAATAAATTTGCTATGCCATTGGAAATGGCCATAAGAATTCCAGAGTGATTTGGCGACATATCAATGATGGGGAGTATACTGCCGAGGCCAGCGCCAGCATTTAAAGCAGCAGAAATGGTCATCAGAGCAATGGCCAGACTCTCCTGACTCTTGTCAAGAAAACCGATTCCAATGAGCGCTACTGCGGGACCCCAAAGGGACAAACTGTTAATGGACTTGTGCAATGTATTTCGGGACATCCACTGACGAGCCATGACCAAATCGGCAAATGCTAGGTACACATAAGACGTGAACCACATGGCTAGATATGGTAGTGCTGAGTAGAGAGCATTGCTCTTTATGTCCATATTGAGAACGCCATGCAGATACGAGGGCGTCTGCTGCTGCATTGTGGAACTCGACCAACCGTCCGCACAGCGTACGAGAAGCAAAGCCAAAAATGGCTTTGATGTCCAAATAGCACGCCATGGAATGGGAATTTTCCGTTCGTGGAATCCATCTGCACGCTGCATGGAACTCTCAATATACGTCTGCTCCTTGGCGCTAATCAAACGTGATTCAGGCGCATTATTGGATCCAAGGAGAAACCAAAGCAAGCACCAAAATGCACACAATGCTGCTGAGACGTACGAGATGCCTGGCCAGCCCAAGGAGCTGTGGGCAATGAGCCCTGTTATGGCGTTGGCCAACACCATACCGCAATCAGCGCCACTGTAAGTGAAAACACCCAGACGATTTCGTTCAGCTGGTGGGGACCACTTAGCGATGTGCTCATGAATGCAGGGGAAGATTAGGCCCTGAAAAACTCCTTGGATCACGCGCAAGACACAGAATGCCTGCCAACCGCCCCCAGATGTTATAGAGTAGGGAGTAATAGCACTGAACAGGGCCGTAGCAAAAGTTGGTATAAATAGAATGGTTTTGACCCCATATCGTTTACACAACAATCCAGCAGGAAATTGGGTGAAAATATAGCCCCAATAAAAGCTGGACAGTATATAGGACTTCTGCGCCTCTGTCCAATCGTATTCCTGCAAAAGATCTCAGATTAAAACCTATTACGGACGCTGACTTACCAGGCACGTACTGGAAAATCTGGATTGGTGCTCGCTGCATCCGTCATCGCCACGACAATCACACTGACATTCAAACGCGCGATATAATTGACTATGATGCAGATAAAAAGGAGCAATGCCTGCAGGTGCCGTATGCCTAGGGCCGGCCCTTTTCATAATAAAAAATAAAAAACAATAGGATTAGATAACATTTGTCATATTATTGGTGTACCCTACATAGATGCCCTAGAACAGAAAGATATTTACTTCCACTAGATAATCATAATTCTTTTTATGTCCAATAATATACTTTCTACTCAATAGCCACTTTTTTGCGATGTATGTAAGGTACAAGTATATCATTGAATTGTCTTATCCAAACCGTAAACACACTTTGCGTTTCTTCTGATCACATAACGCAAATGCAGATAACTAGGTTTATTTCTGTATATCAAATAGTTTTTGATCTGTGACGGATTTTGATTTTGTTTTTTATTGAGCGATGCCTATCATTTATTCACGATTATATAAACACACTATAGGGAACTGATAAACCGTATTGTCCATTATAATAATAGGTAAGTAAAGTTTATTCAATAAACTGTTCAAGTATTGATTAAATGTTTATGAGGTCACACAATTAAGTTCACTTTGGTTTGAAACGCATTCATATAACATTTATTTCGCTCCAATTTTGAATATTGCGCTAAACCATATTTCCCTAATTAATTTAATCCAATTTTATATACACAAAATCCACATTGCTTATTAAATAAAAGAGCACTTTCTTTATTGCATATATATAAATAATTTATCTTTCACGACTATGTTAAAAAAAAATCACTGCAAAGTCTACCTTTCGGCGGCGTATCGGAGCTTATCATCTCAAAACTTTTATTATTAATACATAAAACATTTGTAAACACAACAAGATAATTCGCGAGAAACAGCTTCTCAGTCTGCCGCACCTCCACACGTTTCAAAAGTTCAAATACGTCTAAGACCAAGTCGATTGCTAAAGTTGTGACAAGCGTATAGATGCCGTTCTCACAGTTGCTATAACATCTAGCTTGAGATAATTAAGCGAGCAATAGCTTCGGACCAGTTACACACCTACACACAAGCACCTGCTCACCCAAATTCAAAACTTGTATGCTGTAGACGTTAAACCGCGAACTTATTTTTGATTTATTAAATAAAAGGTAAAAGCAAAATAAGTATCCCAACCTTCGCAATTATGCTTTACGCCTTTTCCACTCTTCATTCCTTCTTCTCTAGAAATTATAAATTGGCCATTGTCCGCACACCTGCCTCTACAATGAACATGATATTTGTCTTTCTCTCTGAGCTTGCCGATTCAGTGAAGCTCAGGTATTTTTATCTATTTATCTGAGTACTTAATTTTACGTGTACAACGTTTTTTTCATTAAACTCGTGGCAAAATTAACATTTTGGGGGGTTTTAGGCAAGAGCTCTGCGCGTCACAAAAAAGACAATACATTAATGAGATATACGTATTTTCTTGTTCTGTCAAATTTTTTAACAATTCTGACTATTGAAGTTTCAGAATCATCTTCCGGCACTTTAATATATAATTCTCTTAACAATTCATTTGACTGTAGAAAATTAAAGTCGTCTATGCGTTTAATAAAATTATGAATTTAATATAAAATACGATATAGTAGTACGATTTTCTGGGTAAATTAATTTTTTATTTTTTTTGGCTTCGCTTTGTCCGGGATATCGTTTTATTCAACGCAAGAACATTGCTGTGGGAACCTTGTTTCATTATTTTTTAAATTTTATTGTTGTTTTATTTTATTACATACAAAAATATATTATGACACAAAAATTTACTATAAATTCACTTATTAGGGTTTAAAAATAAGGCATAAATTGTGCGCATCTATATATATACAAATATGTAAATAGTTGTCACGTTCTCCTAGACATCGCCTTTGCTTTGTGCGTCTTCCTCGAGACCCTCCTCTTCATCGCCGTCCTCTGTGTCCTTAATCTTCGCTATGCCTTCGCGCACCACACGTTCGATATCATCGAGCAGCCCCGAAGCGCCAAAGCGAAACCGTGCGGGTTTCAGCCATTCCATGCCCAGGGTTTCCATAACCAGAGTCATCCAGGCGAACGCGTCACGCACCGTTCTCACACCACCAGCTGGCTTGAAGCCTACAATTCGGCAAGTTCGACGATTGAACTCCTGTATGGCATAAATCATGACCAAGCCTGTAGGCAAAGTGGCATTGACTACTTCTTTTCCAGTCGATGTTTTGATAAAATCGGCGCCAGCCATCATGCAGACCATGGAGGCCTTATAGACCTTAAATTATAATGAAACAAATTAGCCGTTTTAAAAAGTGATGTACAAAAAGCTTGTTTAGCATTTAAATTTTTTGTTTTTTTCGTCCAAAAACCAGTTCTAAAGACGGACAAAAAACAAGACAAATTTAACATAATTAGAACTGTTGGTCTTTCGATGCTTACAGTAGAGACCTCTATTCGTAATGTACTCACATTCTCCATAGTTCCAAGCTCGCCAACGGCCAGAATAGTCTTCAGGTGGGCACGTGTACCGCAGGCGCTGCGCATGAGCACCACCTCGTTATAGAGCCCCTCCCAGTCGCCCACTAACACCAATTGGCGATTGATCACAATGTCGATTTCAGTGGCACCCGCCAGTATAGCGTGGCTTATTTCCTGAAGACGCGTCTGTAGTCCGTATTGGCCAGTGGGAAAGCCCGTGGCCACAGCTGCAATGGCAACAGTGTCTAACTTATCGAACTGCTTCAGGGCCTCATATGCGTTTTTAACACGTGCCGGATAAACACAAACGGCGGCAGTGTGGATTGTGCCAATGAGGCCACGCTCGAAGTACTTGTCAAAAAACTCCGGCTCGAAAGGATAAACGGCACGCAAGCAAAGGCGGCGCACATTCGAAGCGGTGTCATCTCCAGCAAGCGTTGTTAGATCCGTTAGCGTCAGAGCCTTAAGAGCCCACGATATCTCATTAATGCCCGTCACCTTGCAACGATTGGCGATGCTTAAAGCGATTTCCTCCACCTGCCGGAGCGAAAAATTACAAACGAGCATAGACGAGTCTAAAAGTAATGATAATGTACATCAATTTATTAGTTCTTCATGACCTGCCGATCTACTTACCTAATGGCATAGTCTTGTTCACTTCCAACTCTGTTACTTCCATGTTGATCGCCCTTTGTACAATGTTACGTTTAGGGATAGATTATCAGCAGAAAATTTGGAATGTTAATATCACTACAGCAACGCACAGCACGACGCGGCGCACCCAACCACACCACACATGTATTCAGAACTACAAAACGCTTATCAGTAAAAAGCAGCTGACGGCTAGCGTTGCCAGATCACGCACGCACTTTATTCAATTTTCGTTGCATTCAAATATTAAATTAACTAATTTCTGCTGGGGTGTTTTATATTAAATTGAAAACTAAATCCAGACACTTCAAACTAATCGGAAATTCACAAAAAATGCTTATAGACAAAATAAATAAATATAATAAATAAAATAGAATTTAACTCAAAATCAGTTGACAATCGAATATTTGCAAGGAATTTTATGTTTACGAACTTTTAATTAGTATTTTTGTTTTATGTTTTGCACTTCTGTTTTAATTTTATTTTTTCGATCTGTTCTTTTATGTCTAGTTTTATACCAGCTTTTACGAACATTTTTAAATTTCGAATCTAATGTAGCTACCAAATTGAAAAACGCTGCAGATGTCGAATGCATAACTTTTTATTTTAAATTATTTGCATTAGAATTATGTTTTAAGCCTTAAAATTAATTGGTTCTCCGTCATCGTGCAAGATCTTAGATTTTTCTGACATTTATGTCTTAAAATATAACACATTTAATCAATTACTGTTACGCATAATTCAATAAAGTGGCTCCATTAATATCGCACTCTCACAGCTTTTAGAAAAACAATAAACAAGCTCTCATTTTTCATAAAATTCGTGGCACATACATACATAAAATATTTATGTAGATACTTTAGGACTTTTTTTGAGAAGTGCAAGCAGCTGCTGAATTGAGTGGGGGAAAGGGAAGAGAGCTTAGTTTTTGCTATGCTGTAAAATAAATGTGAGTTTCATGAAATAATGGCGCTAAAATAAGTTATGATGCAAAATGCATGCATCCAACAAAAATGACAACAACAGCAACAGCAAATAACAAAAACGCAGCAGCAGCAGTATCCGTGTGCGGCATAAACCTAAAAAGGTTTTGCTTAGCATGATGTTGGTAAGCTGTGGAAAAAGTAACAGAAGCTACATAAGCGGCAAACAGCTGCCACAATCAAGTCAACGCCAGGCGATAATACCCCACCTCCCTACAGTTTTACATACAACTTGGTCCATGTAACGTGGTAAATGGCTCTGTATGTTCATGTGTGTGTGCGTGTACGTGTGGCATGGTCTAAGGTCATTTTCAATTTGCATAAATCATGTGTGCCCATATGAGACACGACTGCTCGACCACCGCTGCACTGCAAGTACGCTTGTGTGTGTCTTAAACCGTAAAATAAAACCACAACAATTGCCTAATCTATATGCATATAGTCGTACATACATATGAGTGCTAGCAGATGGATGCATTAAAGTATAAAAACGAAGCCAAAATGTGGTAAAATTTTTTAATCCGCTTCTATTTTTAAACGGACATGAAGCTATAAAATACTTATTTAATGACTCAAATTTTCAAATGTTGGCAAGTTATGGACTCTCCCTTTCACACAGATATGAATAAACAATGAAATACTATTTACGGAACTGGCCACGATTATTAAAAATTGCTGAACCATTGTTGTTAAATGTTTTTGGGCGATTGCAGTTATTTTTCAATACGTTTTCAAAAAGGACTTTATATATGTCTCAATCGTACTATTCGCCATGCTTTATCCAATTTAGGAAATTTTCAAATTAAGTGTTCTGTTAGTTTGTTTTAAAGGTACTTGGTGTTAAATTTATTTGAAATTGCAATTCTCTCATGGGAAGCAAAACGTAAAAATAAACCAAAAATAACGTATTTTCGTTCAATTTTTATACTTTTTGAAAGAAAACATTTAAATATGCTTGAACTGTCTTTTAATACATTTTTATTGATTTTTAGTGATGTGAACCCCAATTTTCAAAATATAATCCATTTGATTAATACGCGAAAAAGAAGACACTTATCGGTTCGTGTTTGAATAATTTGTGGTAATGGTCGAATGCAAATTTTGTTTTCAGTTTCTATAAGCTAATTTTCAGTCGCCTGGTTTAGTTGTAATTTAAGCTACACTTACGTACGAATACAAACAATTGGGAATTCAAAACATGTCTGCTTCACTCAAAAATCAAATCACTAAGCCACCGTTATGCCCTCCATTAACGATACCAGACATTACATTTCGCAAATTTTCCGCCAATTCCAAAACAGCAGCACGTTAGTCAGAATGCTTGACAAACACAGCGCCAAAATTTTGAAAGTCAGAGTCAAAAAGTCAACCGCATGAGTCGGCAGGCGAATCATATGCCATGGGCAGAGCAGCCATTTTTCGCAGCTGGAACGTTGTGCGAACTATTTGATTTATAAGACTTTCAAATGGCGGTTGGGCGCTCGTCTGTTTTGATCATTTGTGAATCATGTCGAGCTGTTTTGACTTTGATTTATATGCTGTGCATATGCGCCCGTCCGTACACACACACACACACACACACACACACACACACACACACGCAGACACTCATGCACGCATGGAAGCTGGCCAATTGGCCTTGGTTTGTATGGCCGGCCGTACGTTTTTAGCCGCCACAAAAAAGCCAACGACAAATGCAACAGTACCAACAACAATAGCAACAACAACTGCAGCGACAATGCCCGAATCCAAATCGGAGGCCTATATAGTGCGGTCAACCTCGACAGCAATGACGGCTTCGATGCAATAAAATGTTGCTAAAATGCAATTGGTGTGCCACGCCCACATAAGTATGCCAGCCACCGTGCTGTGTTACACAAATTATTTGATTTAACCAAAAATTGCATCGCATTTGCCGCACTTTGTGTATGCAAATGTGTTTGTGTGTACGTGTCTGTATGTGTGTGTCTCATACTCGTATAAAGGTCTCTTATGGAGGCACTGCATTCGACTGCCACAGGCCAGATAGCGCGGCATTGTAACATTTACGTGAAACCGCTTAATTGGGTTGAAATTATTTTGTTTATAGAGCACTTGTACGGGGCTGGATGGTTAAAAGGGGTTAAGCGACCGCAAGCAATTTTGAAAATAACTCACAAAGAGTTCCGTTGTGGTTTCTGTGTCTGCCTGCCATTTCGGAAAATTTGCGTGCCAATTTTCTGTTAAAGGTAGCATTCCTACCTAATAGATCCCAGCGTTTCCATTTTATTTAAATGCAAAACCAATTAGTACAAAATATAGAATCAAATCAGTTCTAAGTATAATTACATTCAAATATCTTATTGATTTTGGATATGGCCTCGGCAACAAATTAATCCATCAACAAATTACCTTTAAACCTAAATTTGATTGCAAAGGCAATAAAATAAATTATAGTATTTCCAATAGTTGCATTTAAATGAAGCCACTAAATGTGTCTCTAATTACATTTTCAGTATCTTATTGAATTTCGATATGGCCTCGGCAACAAATTTATCCTTTTCTGCCAGCGCCGATTTTAGCTGAGTGCGTAACTCCTGCAAATCGGGCATGGAGCGACAATCACGCACATTCAATAGCGTGCGAAAAACAGAATCCCAAACTTGTCGATTTAGGTAGCGTGGCAACTGAGTCTTCGGCATCCAAACGTTCATGGGCGGGCGTTGGACCACCTCCATATAACGACCGAAGAGGAGCACATGCATTACACCCACCAGACCAAACAGGTCCAATTGATATGTCCAGGGACGATCCGTTCGCATCTCTATACACTTGAAGGCGTCTTCGTTGTGTACGTAGGTGAAGGTCTGGTTTGGCGGAAATAGCTTTGTATCGATGGCCACACCAAAGTCGATTAACTGTAAACTTATTTCATTGGGTTCTATGGCCAAACTGTAAACAGAAAGAAAATTCAAAACATGTTAACATAACTGGGAATGCGATAAAGATACAGCTATTAATATTACAAATTTCTAACAGCTAAATATCTTAAAAGATAATATTACGAATAGAGAAATACCATCCTTATAGCAATAGTTTTCGAAAGGCAACTGTTTCTTACACTGTCTTCAAATCATTAGGTTCGAACACTTAGACAGAACTTAAAACGTCTTTACGTTTTCCAATGGCATTTTTCTTGAAACAGATCCAATTTAGTTGTTTAAAGACATCATAATTAGTCTTTAAAATAGAATATTTTCCTGACACTTATTTTTATTTTGTTTTATACTAATAGCGAAATATCTTCATTATTTAAAGACTAAGAAGTTATTTTTCTCATCTGAGCTTTTTATGTTTTAAATGACAATCTTTTTCAATAGAAATTAAAAGTTATCTGAATATTTCGGACGTAAGCAGACTTAGCAAATCATTTAACTACGCGACGGTGAAAATTCGGGTATATGAGTGTGAATTTTTACTTACGGTTTCATCAACAAAAAGTTGTCTGCCTTAATATCGGCGTGAATAATGCCCATAGCATGCAAATGATCGATAATGTCCAGAAGTTGACAGCTTAAATGCATTACTACATATTCGTCGACATTTTTTCCCGTATGCTTCTTAATCTTATTACAGACGGTGATCAGTGAGCCATAATCCGATAGATCAGATATGAAAATGCTGCTGTTGTTACCCACCAGAGCATAGTCGATGTGCATGTAGGCGTGCATCTAGAAGATCAAAATACAAATAAGCAATACAATTAAGCAATTTTGTATCAATTAGGTTTAGCTTACCATTTTCTCGCTAGTGAGGCGACTATGCACCTCAAGACACACGTAATACTCCCAGTAGTTGGGAGGACGTTCCTGTTTTAGTGCCACTTTTCTACCCGTTTGAGCATCCTTGCCACTGTAAATAAAAATGTATAATAAATAAATAAATAAATCTGATTATACAAAAAATGTTTCTAAATAAAACTGAAAATTAGTGCAATAAAGGGGTCTTTATGGATATGGGATAATTCACCTAAACACCGATCCATAGGCGCCCTTGCCAATCATCTTAACGACGTCGAACATCAGATTATGCACGCTGACGGGGGATTGGGGATGCAGTCGTTTTACATGACCAACCAGCTGGCAAGTGGGCAACGTTTCGATGTACATGGAAAACTCTATGGAGTCCAGGAGAGAGTTGATGAGATCCACATTGAACGGATTCACATTATCGCTTGCCAGCGTGCAATTGAGCTCTGAAAGATCTACATTGATCTTGGGATGGACAAACTTTTGGTTGGTTTGTGTATCGAAATTTGATTCGTGCCAGGAATGATGCGAAGGTTTGGGCGAGAGCGGTGTGGTTCTATAATAAATGCTCATATCGTTTTCGGCGTCAGCGCATCCGATAGTCGGCTGTGTGGGGGCCATTTTTGGGGAAGCCAGTCGAGAGTTTGCGGAGGATGAAGCTATGCCCAACTCATTTTCCACGACTGGTTGCTGCTTTTGAAAACTGTTCGCCATATCCTGAATGATGGCAATGCGGGGTAAAGCACTCGATGCCGCAACCACAGGTTCTTGAGTTTCAGGCAGCGTGCAGCTTAACTCGAAGCTGGGACATTTAGCTGGCGGCGGAGGCGGCATTTCGGGCATGGTCTCATCAAGGAAGATTTCAATCTGTTTCTGATGCTTTGCGACTGAAGTAACTTTTCCGGGCAACTCTGCAGCTACCTGAGTTTCAGGTACAAACGACAAGTCAGCCATTAAGGATTTGGCCAACTGCTCGCCTCTACTGCTGGGCACAACAGCTCCCGCTCCTGTTTTATCATTGCAGACACTTAATTGCGGAACTGAAGGGACGCATACTTCGTTCTTAGACTTATCAGATATTGAGAGCGATTCCAAATTAGGAGACTCACTGCGCTTGCCTGACTCAGACGAAAGGAGCGTGGAATTCTTGATCATGCTTATGTTAGTCGCGAACATTTCTGTGGCCGCATTTAACTCGAAAAAATCATTTGGAGATGTGTTTGCGACCACTGGAGGATTGGGCGATTGTTCGAATTTTAATAACGAATCATTCAGGAATTTAAGCGAAGAATTGCCGGCAACATTTTTAGCAGTCTTCTGGCTGTTGGAGCTATTAATGTGCGTCTCCACAGGTGGGAATATTCCAAGTTCCGAACAGTCTTTGAGAAATGTGGCCGTTAAGTGGGTGTCTTGTTTTTCCATAGCTGGAAAGCTTTTTTTGATCATATAATTTTCCTTGTCCTGGACGCTGGGAATACGAGGTGGGGTGCGGTGTGGTGCCTCGTTCAATGACTGTTGTGCCTCGGGCAATGTACAAGTTTTCTTGCTTGAACCTTTCGCTGCTGTTTCGGGAATGGTCTCATCCAAAAATATTTCAAATTGTTTTTCCAACGTTGTCGGTTGAGAACCAACAGTGGGAAGAGCCGCAGGCGGCTGCGTTTCGGGCACAAACGACAAGTCGGACATAAAGGAGTTTCCCAATTTATCGAGACATACGCTGGGCGCATCAGCTACACTTTTTGTGTTTGCCTTATCGCTTACACCGCTCGATTTCGGCGCTGAAAGTGCGCACATTTCATCCTCGAACATGGCAAAGGAATTCTTGACCCTATCCTGGGAAGACTTAAAGGAACTGCCATGAAAATCAGGGGTTCGTTGATCGCAAATGCGCTTGGCATTAACTGGAGCCAGAGGCGAAGTAAACGGCTTCGCTTTTGGCGGCGACTTGCAAAAAAAATCGCACAAATCGTCATCGTTATCAATAGGCACCGGTGGCGTCAACGCTGATGTTTGTAGCATCAACTTTGATGCATTCGCTATCACTTCCGTTGACGGAAGTTTAGGCAACGTCTCGGTTTTGTCCTCCTGAAAGCGCACAAATGGCTTGGGGACTGTTTCAGTTTTGTCTTCCTGGAATCGAAGCGATTTCATGAGAGGCGTACTTGGAACATTGGCTTCCCAGGCCTCCAGGCGGGTAAAGTTACCAACAGGCACAGCCACAGCCTCATTTTCAAGCACCGATACATCCGAAGACGCCCCGCGCTGCAGTCGCATGGGCCCAGGAGTACATGCAGTCCTTGTCACTTCCGATTTGTTGGTTAGAGTGGCCGCAGTGTTGGAGGCTGATGAGGTGGAGGCGTTAGATGACTTGGTAGTGGCGCCTGAGCTTTGGGCCGCATGCTCCGATGTCTCCAGAATCGTAGAGAGCTGCTTGCGCAATAATGGCGACAGAGCTTCGCCACCAACAACTGGCGAGACATCGTCAGCGGTCAGTGGTTCAGGTGGCGGCGGCGGAGTAAGCTCCTTAAGTACAGTTCCAAATTGACGTGGTGGGGCCTGCTTTTGCGCCATCTTGGGCGTGCTTACCGCATGCGTTTTTAAGAACACATTAAACATTTGCGTGGAACAAGTTTCATCAGAATCGAAAAAGGCCGTCGAAACTGGCTTGGAGGAAGCAGCGGGTGGGGTACAATCATCTTCATATATTTCTATTTTCGTAGACGATGGCGGCAATGCCGGCATTACAAAGTTATCCACCGGGGGACTAATTGATTTTGCTTTCGGTGCAGATTCTTCATTTTTTGTAGAGTTCCTTAGAGTTTCGGGCTTTGCTGTTTCAGTTTTTGGGGTAAAATCATCCTGATTTATTTCTTTTTTTGTAAACGCTGCCGGCAATGCTGGAACTACAAAGTTATCCAATGGACTACTAACTGCTTCTGCTTGCGGTGCAGATTCTTCATTCCTTGTAGAGATGCCTACAGTTTTCGGTTTCTCTGCAGATTCGTCAAAGTTATTTGTTTTCGGTTTTGTACCAATTGCTGCAATTGCGGCACTGGGTTGGCTCGCTTCAGCTGCAGACTCTGCACCCTCCTCCTCCCGCACCATAGACACTCTGGGCATACGACCAATTACTGCCAAAGATTTTCTAGCACTTTGCGGACCAATTGTTGGAAAGAAACTCTTGCGTCTTGGCATTTGCTCAACAGGCAGGCAAATTGTTTCTTCCATATCCATGGGACCACAGACGGTTAAATTACGTCTATCGCGCCACTTTGCGGCCAGAATTTCCTCCAGTTGATACTCCTGCTGCACATCATCGTTGTACAGCTTACTGAGGGGCGTTTGCACGCCCTTCACGATATCCGGCTTCCAGTATTTGTCAGAGCTATCGAGAGTTTGCGGTTTTGAAGCTGTGGCAAAGTTTGGATAACGACGAAGACCATATTTTGCTCCTGTCCCCCACCATTGATCGTTGCGCACTACAAACGGAGCCTGTGGATCGCGTCGCTTAAGAAAGCAGTATGCACGATACTCTTCCAGCGATAGTTCCATGTTGGGACGCGGATAGAGGGCACATATGTTGTACCGCGGCAGCTCTTTGTTGGTCGACCCATCCTCGATGGTTACGGGCGTTATCCAAGGCGCTTGGGGGCGATTCTTCGCCACAAAATTAGGCGGATACTTGAACGGTTTGTCGAAGTTGCGTTCGTAGTTTGTTATGGGCGGCAAAGCGTTCTCGTCCACATGTATTTTGAAGGCCAAATCGTTGTGAGCGCCGCTTGAGAACAACTCTCCATGTTTATGCCCCTTACCATGAGCCTTGTTCCAAGGACCAGGCTCCTTGAGATTCTCCTGATGACGCGCAGCATCTATTATAGAGCGCAAAGTAAACTTCTCTTCAGCGGCTGCTTGATCCTCATTCCCAGCAGCAGTGGGAGCATTATTGACATCAGCATTCTCATCGTTAAATACCTCAACCTGGCGACCCACATTGCGGACGCGACTCGTGCTGGGACCATCATTTTGCACAACTCCTGGCATATGGCTCTTTACTGCTGCGCCCGTACGAATGCTGCCAACGGTCACGGTATTCTTGCGCCGCTGACCCTGCAGCGACTGCAGTGCCAAGCGACGTTCATTCAGCTCCTGCGCCACTGCCTCAGCCTCGTCCCCTGCGGTGTATAGGAGGCGCTGCCCCACTGTGAACCCGAAATGCTGATGCGCCTCCTTCAAATCCTCCAGCGGCTCGGCCCTACAAGATATTCCCAGACGAAATATTTCGTCAGCCTTACGAAAATTACCGCTCAAATCGTAACTATAGGCCCAAGCAATATAGAAATCCGCTACCATTGTGCCTATTCCATTATTATACATTTGCTGGTAGCACTCGATTTGATCCTCCTGCTTCTCCATCTGTAAAATAATTAAATTAGCCCACATTTTTGCAATCATATACAAATATATTACTTACGAATTTAATAAATAGCCTAATGAAGCGCCGATCCTGCTTATAACGCTCGTTCTTCTCGAAGCCTGTTAGACACTTGTGCATCACTTTCAAAAGACCGGAACCGCTGCCGCCTGCCGGGTAGCTTTGTTCAATCCAACAAATGTAGGCGTACCAAGGCTCCAGAGGATCGTCGCCATTGTATTGGCGAATATTGTCCTCTAACTGCTTACGTTGCACCAACAATTCCTGTGAAGCGTCCTGGCAAAGCGAGGCTTGCAGCAGGCTAGCGTTCCGGCCAGTTGCCAACGGCTGTATATTTTCTTTTGCATTGTCAAAGTCCATTTGACTACGTGTGAGTTGTTTCGATTACGAAGCAAAAATTGAAATATAAATTCAAACAAAGCAAAAACACAAAACTCGCGCAAAAAAAGTCCGCTATGTTTGACTTGAAATGGCGGTGTTTGTAAAAAGTGTTGCTTGTGATGCAGCCCTCGTAGTGCGGGCGAGTGGACAGCCCTGTCCGCGCATACGGAATGCTGCACATATGATTAGGTGTTCAGCCCTCATAATGCTTAGTAGTTGATAAGAACGTGCTATTTAGCTAACCAACTACTAGTTTAATGCATTTTTGCATATTTTGTTGATATTATAAGTTAAGCGTGACGAAAAGAGTCCAGAGATGTTGCGGTTACTCGCCTACAACTGCGGACGAAGCGACATACACAGGTAACAAACAGGCAACATGGCCAATTGCATGGGATTTTTGTCAAAATACAGGTTTCCTAATGTTTGGTGATTATGTCATCGCGTGTTTATGTTTATAAATATCAGTCGCCACCTGCTACAGCAACTGCCACGCGCTAACGGCCAGACACCACTCACCACTGGCCAGCATTTCAGTACAAGGCTACAAAATGCCAACAAACTGATAAGAAAACATCTAAAAGACAGCTGGACGCGATCGTCACCTTCACCAGCCAACACTGGACGGACTTTGCTATGGAGTGGTGCTGCACTTGGCCTTGGAGTAGGCATGCGCACCTGGTTAACGCAATGCAGGCAAGTGAACTGCGAACCAAATCGCCTGACGGGGGTTATACAGAAAACGCTTGAACAGGATGAGCATAAGTTTGATTGGCAGCGATTCTGGTCGTACTTAGAGCCACACTTGTGGGAGCTTATCGGTGCAATATGTGTAAGTGTAGTCCTACTTCCGCAAGCGAACCTGTCGCTTATCGTCTTGGGCGATAAGCCACTTAATTAGTTAATGTTGATAAATTAGGTTTCTGTTTTTGCAGGCGGCACTTATAGTGGCCTTTATCAACGTACGCATACCAAATTTGTTAGGTGATCTGGTCAACACGCTGGCGCGCTATGCCAATACCTACGTCATGGATCCCGTGCACAATTCCTTTGTGAAAGATGTCAGTAAACCTGCCAGCAATCTCCTCAGTCTCTACATGTTGCAATCGGGCTTCACGTTCATATACATTTATCTGCTTAGCCGCATTGGAGAGCAGATGGCAGCCAAGATACGGCAAGATCTGTTTAAGCAGATCGTTTTGCAGGATATCACGTTCTTCGACGAAAATCGCACCGGCGAGCTGGTGAATCGCCTCACCGCTGACGTGCAGGACTTCAAAACATCCTTCAAGCAGTTTGTTTCCCAAGGCTTGCGAAGTTCCGCCCAACTGATCGGAGGCAGCATATCCCTGTTTATGATCTCCCCGCACATGGCTGCTATTGCCTTGGCCAGCGTTCCTTGCGTCGTGATGTTTATGACCTATCTGGGGAAAAAGCTGCGTACATTGAGCAAGAGCTCACAAGCGCAGGTAAGCAGACATGAAAGCCATTAATCTAAAGCTATAATGACATTTGAATTTTGTGAACAGTCCGAGCGGGCGACAGGCGTTTGTGAGGAGGCGCTGTCAAACATACGTACTGTGCGTTCCAGCGCCTGTGAGTACCGAGAAATGCAACTCTTTGAGAGAGAAACGAATGAGGCGGCACGTTTGGCACAAGATCTTGGCTACGGGATTGCCATTTTTCAGGGGCTGACGAACTTTTTCCTCAACACATTGGTCCTCACAACGCTCTTTATGGGCGGGCATCTAATGTCCACCGAGAGCTTGACGCCGGGTGCATTGATGGCCTTCCTGGTTGCCTCGCAGGGCGTCCAGCGTTCTCTTTCGCAAGGTTCCGTGCTGCTGGGTACCATGATACGCGGCATAACTGCCGGCAGCCGTGTGTTCGAAGTGAGTATCAGCTCTTTTATTAATGTTATTCGATTGTAAATCAACACCTATCTTGCAGTTTCTGTCGCTGCAACCAAAAGTGGAGCTGCTACGTGGCTATGTAATACCCCAGGAGCGTCTGCATGGAGAAATACGCTTTGAAAATGTTTCATTCGCATATCCAATGCGACCCGATCATGTATGTCCTGAAATTACATGCGTGTTTTTATTTGTATTTAACAATCTGCTATTCCATCGTCAGATCGTGCTAAAGGACTTCAATCTGACACTACGTCCTGGCGAAACTGTCGCACTGGTGGGCGCCAGCGGGTCCGGCAAATCCACAATAGCGGCGCTGGTAGAACGCTTCTATGAACCTACCTCAGGCAATATAAAACTGGACGGCTACAAGCTGTCGGATATCTCGCCATTCTGGCTGCGTGCCAATGTTTTGGGCTTCATCGAACAGCAACCTGTACTGTTCGCAACGACCATACTGGAGAATATACGTTACGGCCGGCCAGATGCCAACGAGAACGATGTCTATGATGCATCGAAACTGTCGCAGTCTCATGAATTCGTATCAGCGCTACCCAGCGGGTACGCGACGAACGTAGGTGAGCGGGGCACGCAGCTGAGCGGTGGTCAAAGGCAACGCATCGCCATTGCCAGAGCGCTGCTCAAAAATCCCAAGATACTGATATTGGACGAAGCGACAAGCGCACTGGACGCCACCAGTGAGGCTGAAGTGCAAAAGGCACTTGACACAGCTGTCCAGAATCGCACCACACTGGTCATAGCACATCGACTGTCGACGATACGAAACGCGGATTTAATTGTTGTTCTAGACAAGGGTCGTGTGGTTGAGGTATGCATTAATGAATCTTTTTTGTGGTTCTCTTCATAAGGCCTCCAATTTTGTTTGCTATTTTCTTTATTGTAGACGGGCAAACATGACGATCTGATGGCTAAGCGTGGTCTATATTTTGAGCTGGTGCGGCAACAGGAGCGGCGTGACTTTGAGGAACAGGTGGAAGTGACATTAACGGGCCGCGATAATATGTCGCAAGGCTAGAGATCCCGCCCGTTTCAGCTGTCTAGTGAACAAAATACAAACGATTCCCCTTATACTTAATTTAATAAGCTCCTTTCCTTTTATTTTTACAAAATCACCTTGTTATATTTTTGATTGACCAGCGGTTCCAGTTTTTATGATAAGTTACAATAAATAAGTGCAAAACAGTATTGTTTTTGTTAAAAACAAAACGGAAATTTATTGTTGTAATCGTGAAAATATCACGCGTAAAACCTGTAATGCAATTAAATTCAGTTTTCTACAAAGCTGAGCGAAACTCCACAAAAAGATTGTGTTTACTGTAAAATAGTGTAAACCGACTGCGGATTAAATATTTTATTTCAAAGAATGGGCAAAAATCCTTTGAATTTTATTGTTAGTAAAATAAAGCTATAATACCAGACAGGCACATCATTTGCACACACCATTTTTTTCCATATCACAAGTATATCATGAATGGAATGTCATTTCAATTAAAATTGTTAAATACTATATTTTCAAAAAACCATTATTTGAAGCTAAGCTGGCAAATAATTTTTCACATTTAATCTCAATTCAAGTCAAAGTTGGCAACACTAGTCAAGTAATTCGATTAACTGTAAATTGTCATTGTCTGTTCGGCAACTGTCAAAAAAGAAGTCGATTTAAAATTCTTCTTCTAGGAGCAACGTCCATAGCAACAAGAAGCAAGCCCGCCGATCTATAAATCTACATTTTCTTAGGTACGTCGAGAATAAAGTTAAAAAAGTATACTTGTATAAAACAACAACTTATTATGTATATGTACATATGTATATAGTTTTGTGAAAAGCATGTCTAATCCAGAGGGGAGTTCGTTTGAAGACTCCAACGCAACGGTACCATTTCATGCTTCCACTGCTGATCAGGCCCGAGCTATTCAACTATATAGTATTCGGCTAATTCGAGCCGGGCTTTTGTCGAACCGTGAAGCAAGGCGCTTTATAATAATAAGCAAATATTGGAATCTGAAAAAACTTGGATTAGAATCCAGCACTGCCAACCTGGCTGTAGAACAAGTCAAGGCACCAGAATCTTCGGATGAGGACTAAGCATCAACGCTGGATGAGTCATTTTCCATGTGGAAGTCAAGTTGTTTTGGTATTCTAGATTCTGCCAGGAAAGGGGATGCTGGAGCACCAGAATCAAATGCGAACCAAATTTTAAAGACTCACGTATATGTATGTACGTATATAATATGTATATACGAGGTTATATTTATTTAGGAATAAAATAAAAATGTAATACACTATGAAATTGTTATTTAAACGCCTCCGTTACCACCACCGCCACCTCCGCCACTGTTGTTGAAGGGGCCCCAATTGTTGCCGCCCCAGTTTCTGATACCACCAGTGTACCCTCCACCGCTGTTGAAGTTGCCACCACCACCATAGCCGCCACCTCCGCCGCTGTTGTTGTAGTTACTACCTCCACCGTAACTTCCACCGCCGCCGTAGTTTCCACCAGCACCACCACCGTAGCTTCCACCACCATAGCTTCCACCGCCGTTGCCCCCACCACCATAGCCTCCTCCTCCGTTGCCGTAGCTGCCACTACCACCGTATCCGCCTCCACCGTAGCCGCTTCCACCGCTAACCCCTCCACTGGTAATGGTGCTACCACCACTACTATATCTTGATCCATTGCCATATTTGCTGCCGCCGTAATTCCTTCCGCCACCTGAATTACTACCATAGCCGCCACCACCTCCAGACCCGAAGCCAGCATCGTAGCGTGTGCGCTTTGGTGGTCCACCGCCTCCTCCGCCGCCGAAATTCGATTGACGCGCCTGATGGGGCAGTATTCCAGACTCCCGCTTGATATTAAAATCGCCTGCGTCCTGTTCGCATAAAGCCCGTATGACATTGACCAGTTTTGCGTAGGGATCCGGCAGCTGCAAGACATTGCCGGGATCGTTGCAGGCCAGCGTGATGAGATCCTCAATAGCCGGCTTTAGTGCACCAATTTTTGCAGCTATCTCCGGGTTCATGTCAAAGTTCAGCCAATTGTCGACGCGCACAATATTGTTTGGTGCCAGGTCCACTTTCCGGCAACCAAACAATATGACCTGCAGGGGCGACACCATCGACATTTGTTTGCAGGAGACGGCTCGGGTGCGAATCTTTTCACCAAATATGAAGAAGGGGTAGGGGAAGGTGATGGCCAGATTGCTGCAATTCACAGAAGTCTTGTGCAACAGTGCCGCCTTCGATTCTGTGGTTAGCACCTTGCGCTTCTCCTTGTGCACACAAATATTGGGATAGAGACCCAAACAGAGCAATGCTAAAGCCATATCCAAAACGGCATCATCGCGATTCGCATCCACATGATGGGGTATCATGCACTCTTCGGGAAAGCCGGCTTGCTGCAGCAGGTCGAGCAACTGCGTCTTGGCATCGTACATAACGTTCATAGTCGACATTTGCAGACCCTTCCAGTCGCAGAAGCGTATCTCCTCCTGCTCGCCACGCTGCTTCTCATGGTGCCACATCTGTGTGGCCACAATCATGGCCACATGATCGGAGCATCTAGTTCCGCTCAATGCCTTCTGATGGTTTGCCAAACGGCGTTGTCCAATGTCAAGCGCAAACACCTCCGAGAAGGTGCTTGAATAGGAGGCCATATTGGCGACCAGATCGGCGCAACCGAACACTGCGCCCAGTACCATCATCTTACCCAAGCGGGGTTCGATGGGCAGGCGCGCCAACAGACGACCCAATGGCGTCAACTCATCATTGGCATCCAGACAGCGCATCTCACGCAGCAGCACCTCCGCCTCGATGACAGCATCCACAGGTGGCGGTTCCAGGGCTTTAGACAGGAAGTGGTGAATCGCGCCAAGACGCAACAGCTTGATGGTAAGCGCCATCTCGTGCAGCGGTGTGCGGAACATCTCCGGTGTTAGATTCTCCTCTAGTTGAGCAAAACGGGCACGTGAGCAGAGCGTGAAACAGAAACCGGGACGAACGCGTCCAGCACGGCCCTTGCGCTGCTCTAGATTCGTCTTGCTCGCCCATACGGTGGCATAGCTCGTTAGATTGTTGTGGGATGTGAACAGCTTCATGCGTGCCTTGCAAATGTCCACGACAAAGACAATATCATCGATGGTAATTGATGTCTCCGCAATATTGGTGGATAATATAATCTGCAAGTATAATAAATAAATAGGCGTTAATTATGATGAGGAATGAGGATGAGGAGCTGTAGATTCCGACACTCTCTAAGAATTATGTTTATAGGGAGGATAAAGACAGCACCCACCTTTGTTACACCCTCCGGCGTAGCCTCAAACACCTTGCGCTGCTCGTCGCGTGGTATTTGTGAGTGGCACGGCAGAATTCGGTACTGAGGGTTTCCGAAATTCGAAGAGCTCTGTAAAAACTTCATCAGGGCGAATATGAGATTCCAGCCGGGTAAAAATACCAAAATGGCACCGGGAATGTTCTTTGATTTGATGTGTAACAGCAGGGCCTCGAGCAGTTCGAAGGAGACATCCGCTTCAGATAGCATAGCCATGGCATTGCGTGTTTGCTCAGAGTATTTGGGATCGCAAACTTTATTCAAATTCAGTTCGCCCTCTTCTTTATTTTCGCTCAAAAGTATTCGCTCCTCATCTTCTGCCTCTTTGCGCTTGCGACGAGACTCCGCCGACGGTACGAATTTGGTCATCTCGAGAATGTCTTCCAGGAAATACTGCTGTACAGGATAGGCACGTCCGAGTACCTCCAGCACGGGACAGCCGCCAAAGTATTTGGTGAAAAGCGTTGTATCAATGGTTGCCGACATAAGAATGATGCGCAAGTCCGGATACGTGTCCACCATGTCCCGCAGGATGACCAACAAAAAATCACTGTTCACATCACGCTCATGGATCTCGTCCACAATTATGTGGGAGACTCCACGAAGACCGGCCTCCAGTTTCCGCAACAGCACGCCCACAGTGCAGAACAAGATGGCACCATAAGGACGTGGAAAGACAGACTCAAAGCGCACCGAATAGCCCACGGTGTCGCCCAGTTGCTCGCAACGCTCACGCGCCACACGCTCCGCCACCGAAATGGCCGAAATGCGACGCGGCTGCGTCACATAAATATTGGCATAGGCCCCCTGGCCCGAGCTAATGTAATCATCCAGAATGTATTGTGCTATCTGTGTGGTCTTGCCACAGCCAGTATTGCCGCGTATAATCACCACGGGATTCTCATTGATGGCGGTCATTATTTCAGAACGCATGGACGCGATTGGCAGTTTGTCACGAAATTCCAAAAACTGCTTATACTCGGGATCCATTTGGCGTCTATCCCGTAACTTGCGTTCGAATTCATTCGACAAATCATCTATGGACGTGGTGGCTAATTCTCCCTCGTCTATGTTGCATGCATGCCAGGCATTCCAGTTTTGTTGCGGGGGTGCCCAGGGAATGACAGCGCCTTCCTTACGTTGATCGCTGCTTGTTTGCTGGTCGGCAATTTTGTTAACGTTCACCTAAAGGAAAGAAACATAATATAAATGGGTTTTGAAGCATTTTCAGAATATAGAATACCAATAATGATGGACTTAAAAGGATTTTATAATAATCACTGAGTATAGAAAGTCGCCGAATTCAAATAGATAAGTCTGATTATTAACTTTTAAATGGATAATTTTTTCGGACTATCATCTTATTCTATCGTCTTATAAAACTTGTATTTTCAGGGATTGTTTTTTAGGCTATCATTAAAATGGAATGTCCCAACTCACGCGGCTTATTCTCCAGATATTACACCTTTGGATTATAATATTTTCGGTTTATCGCATTTTCATACTTTTGTCTCATCTTTCCAGAATATTATTTTTTAGACTATGATATATAAACATTTTTTTTTTTCGTTGAAACGGCCTGGCTACAGAAATTGGGAAGACTTGTAAATGAGCTCAAATGTCCTATACGTGGACAATTTAAATACTACCAGTGTTATGGGAACAAGCTAACAAATGCTCGATAATACTCTGAATAGGGATGGATAACAAAATGTTCTCCACGAAATACTATCTTTAAGAAGTGTCTACTATTTACTTACAATCAATGAAATAGGAGCGCTATCGGTCTCCACTTTAATGTTTCGCGGACTGACAACGGGCAAATCCAGAGCTTTGATGACGCTGTCGACCTGATCAACTAATTGTGGTGCCAATTTCACTGGATATGGCTTCAGTTCTTCGTCCTTTTTCTTTTTAAGCGTGCCACTGAACGCTTCAATGACCTTCAAGTGGAATAGTTGACGCACTAAGGAGAGAGCACACGATTTGCTAGCGGCCTTCTTGTTGGAACCAGTTTCACGGGCAGTTACTTTACGTTTCAGTGCGGGCACATAGATAGATAGTTCGGCCATGAAACTCCTAAATATCAAAACAATTTAACGAAATACATTTGGAGTTGGGGAAAAAAAGGAAAACTTACCAGCGGGAATTTGGAAGTTAGCCTGCTGTGCGTAACATTGAAAAGTTTTATATAAATTAGTTGCTGTCTTAGCAGACTTGCGGAGCTACGTGGCCAACAACTCAGTTATGCAGCAAATCATTTCATTTTGTGCCACGTAACCCCCAAAATCTAGCATGTGGCTAAGTCAGACTAAACACATTGTATTGAAACAAAATTGCTCCACCCCACCAATTCGATACGATTGAATTCTTCGCAATTTGCGCATTAAAGATAGCTAACTTTAGTTTCTTATATTAAGGAGTAAAGGTACGAGCTCTGTTTTTGCATAGATTTCAAATTCCAAGCTCTGTTCTTTGTTGTCCTGCAAAACTTATACGTTCCTTGCCCACGTCTTCATCCCTAAATAGTTGTAGTGTTTAATGTTGCACACAGGAGGCTAAGTTCACGGTACGTTTTAACTCAAAACAACACACTGCGCACCAGATTTAGACCAATTGCTATATCCAGGGCGCAGCGTCATACAGAAAAAAACATTTGAAAGACAAGACAAGACATTTGTCTTTCATACGTACCTAGCGTGGTCAGGTCCCACTGGCATATACTTGTAGTCATCCTTAATGCCATTCGTTTGCTTGTATATGTTCAGCCGATCTTTGGCATTTTCAATGGTCCAGTTGCCGTGAATGGCTGCGTTTACATCAATGGACTCTGCTTCGTTCATGTCCTTTTGCTCCTGGACATGATCTATTACGCTGAAGCGATCGCCACCCACGGGACGATAAGCCTCACCCAAGTCGCGAGGTCCTGACTTGTCACCAAATACACGATGTTGCTGACCACCAACACCACTAGCATCAACGCTTCCGCCACCCCCGCCTCCAGCGACCGATGGTGGCGCAGTTGCCTCGCCAGGGACATCATTTGCATTCAATTTGCCCACGCGCACCAAATAGTTAACAAAATCACGCGACGCATTCTTTTCGGCGTCTTTTTTGTTGGTGGAGTTTCCAACCCCTACATAAGGACACTGGTCTAGGCGTACTTCGCACAGGAAGCGCTGCCGGTTCTTTGGTCCTGAAAATGTATGCATTTTTGTAGTCGTCTTTTTCGAGAAGCTTGTGTCCACTTACCTGTAGGCCGCACATCGAACTTGGGTTCGGTTTTGTTTTTTGAGCAATATTCGAAGAGAAATGATTTAATATCCATGTTGATTCAATTTAATAAAATCACACATGAAAACAATGTTTTCTGCACAAGCTCTGAAAATCGATTGAAGGTTCGTCTGGCAACGCTACACCTTGTATCGATAAATAAAAGTGCTAGACAATGCCAGTGTTTTAGGCGCTGCCGTATTTTAGTTTATTGCTGTTTGGCAAGTAATGTACACACTGCGCGCGTAGTCTTCGCTGTAGAGCCATTTTCGCTGCTAATATCTCCAAATATGCATTGAAATATGAAATTAAATAACACAAAAATGTAAAAGTGTGTGCAAATGCGATTAAATAATACTGCGTTCATGTGTTCTATAAATTGTTGTGTGTTTTTTAATTGTTTTCGTTGCATCCGTGTTGTTTGGTCAGCACCAGCATCACACACATAGATAAAAGCAGAAAATACATACGCACACACACACTCACGCACGCATACATATGCAGCTGTAGCCGTGTTTAAGTATTTAATTTAGTTAGTGCTTCTATAAAATATATCCAAGGCAAGTGAAATAGTTCGTACTGTGTGCAAACCCAACAACAACTATGTGTGAATGCACCACAAACTTCCAAAATTTTTAATAAATTTGTTAAACAACGGTAGGCATGCATGGAGTATTGTAAAAAGAAGAGAAAAGTGCCAACGCCAACACCCCATGTTGGTCGCAAGTGAACAAATAAACAACAATAGCGGCAGCAGCGAAAACAAATACAACAACGGCGGAGATAGAAAGAAAACGTTTTATTAGTCGGATTGTGGTGCATTGCCAGTCCTCGGATTGCTTAAAGTGTAAACAAACGAGTGCATTCGAATTGTGTATTACTCTTCCATTCATCGCATTTAATCGCTGTCGCGCACACACACGCAAACAAACACACACATACAATACATAACTAGCAGCAAAAGACTTTTCATAATGGGGAACTGTCTACGCTCACAGAAACCAGACAACGACAAAGTGCATGTCGATGCACGTAATCAGCTTGATGATCCGGCTACCACGATTGGCGGTGTGGTGGGTGGTGTGCCTCAAATTACAGTACCATTAGGCCAGCCCCAAGAGCAGATACGTCCGGTGCCGCAGATACCCGAAACTGATCCCGCAAATACAAATGCCAAAATATTTGTAGCTCTCTACGATTACGATGCGCGCACCGATGAGGATTTGAGCTTCCGCAAGGGTGAACATTTGGAGATATTGAATGACACACAGGTAAGTGAATCATCATCAGCACAAACAGAACCGAATGCGGCACCTACGCTTTACCCGCATTCAACAATTTTCATTTTCTCTTGCCACATTTGCTGATAAGAAAATAATGTGTTATTTCGGCTGATAAAAGCATTACTTGATTCCGGGTTGGGCGGAGTGGTTATTTCACACTTTATGTCAAAATGACCATTTAAATGTGACGTTAGCACTGTAGATATTAATCATTGTGTGTTTTGATACATGTATGTATTTTTATATAATTGCTATAATTTTATTATCAGAGGCAAAATATGTACTAAACAAGTACATTTATTTAACAGCACAAGTAGCTGGTCTTTATTTGTTTTTAGTTGAATTTTATTTTGTTACGTCAACAGAATTTAAGTGAAAAGCAATGAAACCCTACAACAGAATCTGATAAAATGAAAATATTGTCTAATAAAGCTCCTGGCATATTGCCGCAAAACATAGTCAAATGTGGTCGCAGACGTTAATAAACCTACTCAACAACATAAAAAAAACTGAAATGAGTAAAATTCAACAGGAGAGGGCACTAATACCGCCCACTCAATGGTGGAAAATTTAATATCCAGTCCGTCAAGCGTAGATGGCTAAAAAGAGGCCCTTTTAAACTTAAGATACAGACAGCGAGAGAGAGAGAGAGAGAGAGAGATAGAGAGCACTTTTTAAAGTAGTTAAAAAGATTACTATAATCTAAACACAACATTATCAACCGATTTTGCAATGATAATATTAATGGATTCCTATGGATTTCTAACTTTCAAAGTTTTATATAAAAACACCCTCAAAAGTACGATGACAAACGATGTTTAGCTGCCCAATTTAATCCACGAACAGATCTCTGACAATAGAAACATTGAATGCATTATTTTCATCTATTCCCATCAAAATGTTCACTATACGGCTGGCATACATGCATTCACATACAAATGTATAGTATTTTAAAGTTATTTTAGCTCTTATCTCCTATGTATGTATGTTTTGCCTGTATATTTCGTGTTTCATTGGGAAAATGCACGTGTTTTTGCAAACGCTTTAATTATTCGATTCATTGAGCTGTGGATGACTACAAGTATAGTGCCTTGCTTTAGGCTTACGTATTAGTCATGCAAGGCAATCTTAATAATGTGCTTACTTACATATTATACATACATACAAGTACATACATATATTTGCCACATGGTAAAGCTGTTTACTTTCGTTGAATTGCAAATTCACAAAATTCCTCTGGTTTGGTGCATTTTAAGAGCTAATTATTTCGCTTTTTAAATGCATAGTAGAAGTCGTAACAGAACCAATTAACGTGTATTTATATATTAACAAGACATTCGTTCGAAACCCATAAACAACCACAGGAAAGCACGAATTAAGCGCTCACTAGTATTAAGTCAAGTCTAAACTAGTACGACGAGTAAGTTGTATAGAAAATTTTCGAATGTCTCAAGTTTGTCATGAATATAATTTATATAATTATAATGAAAGAAGAGGAGGTACATAATTTTTTGTGTCAAAACGTTTGTCATAACAGTGGAAATATATCTATATCATTACGACTTCAACTTCAGTTATTTTGTTATAACTAACTAGGATGAGCAATTGATGACGCAATGTTCGGCCATTAATTTGTTTCCTATTTTCAAACTTAAGTAAAATTCAGGCGATAATTTATCAACAATTTCTCCCATCAAACATTTTCAATGTCGCCATCTAAATTCCAAAACAAATGCTGGCTGGACTGGACTGGCTGGGGCTGACTGCGTACAAACCCAGACGATGACTGTAATTGTGGCGTGAGCGCCCAAAGCGCGCCCACTCTGTCGCCAGTTGAACCCAACGTCTCACTCTTTGTTTTGAAAGCGGCGCCCAACTGAAATCCGCAAACCAGCTAGAGACTGAACTCCACTGCCATTCCACTCGGGTCGACTGCATTTTGATGCATGGTTTGTCGGGTAATTTGCTCTCCGGTTTGCTCGCTGCCTTGTCGTTTTGTAGTTTGTCGTTTGTTGTTTTTGCTTTCGTTTGCGGTTGCCAGATACATACAACATAATTAACTCCACTTGACACCAGACCAGACAATGTGGCATTGAGTAAACATTCCGATACTGTGTATCTTCCATATACATATGTACACACATAGTTGGAGTTCTATGATTAGACATTTGTGTTCTATTGTGACATAAGGCGGAATCACCTCTCAGCTTTCCATCTCACTGTAGGCATACTCGTATACTCGTACTATAGGTGTGTCTGCGCATGTGATTGTACAGACAACAATTTTCATTTCATGCATATTTAAAGACTTTACGTCAACATAGCCATGACCACCTTAAAATCGTGTACCCGCTATCGTCGCCGCCATCCTCTCTGCCCATGGCTTGACCGGCCTGCTGTTCGGCCGATTTTGTCGACAAGTGGCGGCGCTAAAGGCGTGACGTCCGCCTTTGGCTGTGGGCCAAGTAAGCGCAAGTGCCGACAACCTCCATTCTCTTTTGACTCTCTTCTCTGCCTTGGCTGCGCGCGTTTCAAAAATGTGCAACAATTTTATAGTTGTAATTAAAAGCGCATCATAAATGGCAACTTGTAATCTGTATACACATACATACTACATATTTATATACATAAAGAATTACCACAATTTGGGGGACGTTAACTCCGTGTTCAGAAAACTTTTAATCAACTAATTTACAAAACATACAGGGTGCGCCATCTTTTATGTCGGTATGTAAATATTGAATAACTTTGTCATTAGTGAACCGATTGACTTGAGTAGACCAGTGTTGAAAACCTCAGTTCAAGAAATTGTACAGAACCAAAATAAATAAAAATATCTCATACTTGAAAATCGGTTGTTTATTTTCAAAGATATTCAATGTTTACATACCGACATAAAAGATGGCGCACCCTGTATATGAGACAATATTGCAGCCGTCCGATATAAACCATATGGGTTCGTGGCACGAATGAGAGTTGTAATGATTTAAACGTTCTGAGATGTTCTGTCTGCAGTCGTACTCAAATCTAATCCTTCTAAGTACATACTTACACATCAACACAATTAATATAAAATTCAAATCCTTGGATATTATTTCTCATTTCAAAGTAATAATACGAAGATATGTTTTAGATTTTCAATGATCGATCATTCAATAAGCTATCCCATAATATGAAGGATTTTTAAGATATTCACACGTTCACAGAATATTGCAGAATATTATTGGATAGAAAATAAGTATACTATTATTATCACACGAATAACATTTTCAAGATATTATTTCTTGACTTAATCCCAAGGTAATTAAATTAAAAACTTTAGCAGGGAGAAAGTTGTGTTTTAAGGCACTCTTTTTGACAGAACTATCTTCCAGTCTCTATACTAATTCAATATTAGGTGTAGGTAGACATGCTCACAGATTTTTATTAATATACTTTAGCAGTCGTAAGGTAACGATCATAAACTGTTCTAATTTTCGCTATAATAAACAATTTTCAACACAACCATTTGGTTCACCATACTTGCTACGCGACTCTGTTAATTCCCAGACAACACGAGTTTATTGTATTTGCTTGACTGTAATACAAGTATTCCCTCTTGTTGATTCCACTTATCAGCACATTTTCAAAGAATTTTAAATCATTTTATAATCTAGAAGCGACCCATCGAACATAACTTCAACCTACAGATCTTATAAGTATGACTATCACTGTATCTATGTACATATGCCAATCAAATATGTATTTATGTACATAAACACATAGCCATGTACATACTTCGTTGTATATGGACCTAACTACTGCCAATTGCTAGCAATGAGGGAACTTAC